GGGTGACTGGGTGACGGGCACTGAGGGGGCACTTGACGGGATGAGCACTGGGTGTTGCACGGTGTTATTCTGTATGTTGGTAAACTGAACACCAATAAAAATTAATTTATTAAAAAAAAAAAAAAACTTTGCCACCACCTGGCCTGGGGGCGGGTCCTACTCAAGACACTACTGGCCACGGGACCTTGACCTTGACGTCTGGCTTTGTGTCCCGGAGCCTCAGCCGCCCCCTCCCCAGGACGGGGATGAGCAAGGCCCTGCCGCCGGGCTGCTGCGCAGACGGGGTCTGGGAGCCACGGGCCCGCACACGGCAGGCACCTGCCCACGGCCACGCACGGGCCCGCGGGGCGCCCGGGGAGCTTCCCTGCCGAGGTCCCGCGCCCAGCCTCGTCTTCCCTCCACACGCCAAGGAAGGTCCCCGGGCCACCGGTCGGCAGGTCCCCCAGGAGGCTGCTGCGCCTTCCTGCACGACACACGGAGATGGGGCACAGACACGGGCACCCCCGACCCGCCCGCGCTCGGGTCTCTGACGCCCCCACCCTTGCCGGCCTCACCCGGCGCCCTGGGGTGCACCGCCGCTGCGGCCCACGTCTGCAGGGACAGGGCTGTCCCCACCGCAGCTCACGGACTCACAGGACAGGAGCGAGCCTCCCGCCGGACAGCTGGCGGCAGAGGGGCAGGCAGGAGCCCCAGGCCAGCGGTGCCACATGCTGGACGCCGGAGCCCCCACCGCCCCGTCCGTGGGGGGCCCCGCCGCAGCCCCTGCCTGGCTCCGGGCAGCTCGCTGGATGGACAAGGTCAACTCGTCAGAGACAACTCTTGGGAGCCGGCCGGAACCAGGCCTCTGACCCCTGTCACAGCCAGGGCTGGGGGACCTGGGGGGACGCAGAGGTCCCGCCCCCGGTCAGTCCTGAGAGGCTTCCTGGGGGAGGAGAACACAGGTGAGGACACAGGCCTGGGACTGGGGCAGCGGCCTGCGATGTCCTGGTGACACGTGCCCCTACCCCCGTGCAGGCCCCGGGCTTGGTGACGGGAGGGGTGGGAGGGGCTGGGAGGGGCCGGGGCACAGCCAGTTCCAGAGGCTTGGGGTGTGGGGGTCAGGGCGGCAGTGGGGTAGAGCCGGCCTGGGAGGCAGGGCAGGTGCAAGCCCGGAGGTGCACTGCAGGCGCCCGGCTTCCCGGAGCCCGGGGTGGGGGACGGGGTGCGCAGGGCCCGGGACTCAGGCGGCCACAGCCCAGGGGGTAGGGGGGACACACGGGCCGCAGCCAGGTGGCCGGGCAGGCCTGCTGGGAGCCGGGTGACAGCAGGAGCCCCGCCCAGTGCGCTGCGCTGTGGCCTGGCCTGGAGCCACCTCCTCCGTCCCGGTACCCTGCTCCCCCAGGAGCACCCCCCTTCCCCCCCCCCTCCACGCCGGGGCCACGGGAACTTCCTGAGCGAAGTGTAATCGCAACGAAAAACAATGTCCCTGCGACAGCCGCTTGCATAACCTGCCCACAGCTCTCGGTGACTTCCTGGCCAGGCGAGGTGCAGCCCTGAGCTGGGGGGGGCCCCACCCTGCCTGGGAAGGGGCCAGACCCTGCCCCCCCGCCCCGCTCGGGAGAGGCCCAGCAAGGGCTCTTGCAGCCTCAGTTTCCCCATCTGGAACCTGGGGTGTGGGAACCGATTATCTGGAAAGCCTCAAACGTTCTCGAACCACACGGAGGTGTCTCGCGCTCCGCACACCGACGGCTTCAGTCCCGGTCCCGTCCGGGTGACCTGCGGCAGTGCTTGAGCTTCCTTGAGGCGACCGGGGCGACAACAACCAAACTACGGAGGGGACAACCTGAGGTGCTATGGAAAGCGTCGAGCACCGTGCCTGCCACGTAGTACGATCTCGGAATTCTGCGAGGACCCGGGGGCGTCTACACCTCCTCTGCCCTGAACCTGGGCTCTGCGGCTGCGCTTGACCTCGCGCATGTGGCCAGGGCGAGGCTGTGCCGGCTACTGGACCCGCTTCCGACGCCGGGGTGGCTTGCTGGGGGAGCGGCCGCCCCGCGGCAGAGGCCGAGCCGCCCCGGGGGGGTCTGGGGACAGAAACCCCGGGCGGTGCCCACCTGCCTGCGCCCTGGACGTGTGGCCCCCGGGCCAGCGGGGAGCAGAGCCGCGCTTTCCCGCCCAGCCCAGGCCACACTGTGGGCCTTCCAGTAAAATCAGCGGCGGGCGTGGGCTCAGGCCGCTCAGCCCCGAGGGCCCGGGAGGCGGCGGGGGAGCGGGCAGAGCAAGTCGGCGGCCAGCCCGAGCGGCCACGCGGCAGGAGGTGGGGCCGGGCCTCGGCACCGGGTAAGGCCCCAACCGACGACCCGCCGCCCGCGTGCAGGATCTGCTACATCACGTCACACGGAAAACACGGGGCCCCTTGTTCAAAAATGATTACGTTTTCCAGGCAGCACGGCGGGGTGCTGCACCCAGCGCCGGGCTCCGGGCACTCAGGCCGCGGGGCCGGTCTGATGGGGCCGCCCCGACTCCTGCGGGGCTGCCTGTAAACAGGAACCCAGCTCACTCACTGCGCTTACTTTTAACACCAAATTAAAATAAATAAACGGAAGCATGAAAATCAGCCAGAGTCTTTACCGTCCACCCAGCCTGGACCGTGACCCCCAGCATCCTGCACTGTGTCTGCCTCCCCACGAGCGGGGCCTCAAAACCAACCTCGGGGACACCTGGCTGCCTTGGGCTGAGGGTGTGACCCCAGGGTCCCAGGATCGAGTCCCACATCGGGCTCCCTGCATGGAGCCTGCCTCTCCCTCTGCCTGTGTCTCTGCCTCTCTCTGTGTCTCTCAGGAATAAATAAAATCTTTTTTAAAAATTAAAAAAAACAATAAACCCAACCTCCTTCTTACCTCCCAGCCATGGTGAGCTGGAGGTGAGAGGAAACGGGTCCAGAGGGCAGGAGCCAGATGATCACCTCGACACAGACGCAGCCCCGCGGGGCCGAGGGCGCCTCCCGGGCTACGGCGGCGGGTCAGCACGTCAGCCCCTCCGGGCCCCAGTCCGGCCAAGGGGGCGCGATCCTCCGCCTCTCGGCCGTTGCTTGTGGAGCCCGGACACAGAGGGGACGTGGCAGGGCTGGGTCCCCTGCATAGCTCCTGCAAGGCCCACACCACCTGCCCTGCGCCCCCAGGCAAGCACGTGCCCCGGCGACCCGTGGGCGCTGGCACCTGCGGGCTACAGACCTAGGACACAGGGGTGGGGGTTGGAACATGGGGCTGGAACTGCCAGAGCAGGGACAGGCCCCGACGGGTGGAAGGGGACACATGTGCCAGGACGTGGGGAGACCCCGTCCCCAAACACGGACATGCTCCAGCGTCTCCCAGGGGGTTTGGGTGTGGGGCCCCACTCTCCCGGAAGCCACCCAAAGAAAGGGGAACCCAGACTCCCGATTCCCGGCCTCCTGCAGGGACAGCAGCTGGGGGGAAAGCAGTTGGGGGACATGAGCCCTGGGGACACCCGCCAGGACCGGGCCACGCCGCCAGCGCTGCAGCGCGAGCTCCTCTGACCCAGGGCGCCCCCACGACCCCCCGCGACCCCGTGTCCTCTCACGCGGCCTCCGGAGCGGCCCTGCGCAGCCCGGGTGCCTTCTCGGCGTCTCCACCCACGCGGGACCCAGGTCAACAAGGCAGCGTGAGTGCGCCCCCCCCCCCCCCCCCCCCCCCCGCCCTCGCTCCGCATACGTGTTTCTAGAAGGAAGGGAGGGGAGCAGGCGAGGGGGAGGGGGCCGCTCAAGGAGATCCCAAGCAGCGGCGGCACAGTGGCGTGTGCTCCGCCGTGAGGGGTCGCCTGGTGGAGGGACCCGGGGCACAGGGGAGGCCGCGGCCGGGGCCGGAGCCATCTACCTGCCTGCCGAGGACCGTGACCTGGGGCTCTGTGGGGCACCACGTGGAGCGAGGGGGCCTGTCCCCTGGGGGGGTCCCGCTGCATCCCAGCCCCGGGGAGGCCTGAACCCACCCGTCGGAGCAGGAAGGGCCGCTCCCCGCGGGGACAGGCTCGCAGCGCCCGGGGACGAGCGGCCACGCAGCAAGCACGAGCCCGGGCCCTGCGGAGCGGCGGTGCCGGCGCCCTGACCTCGCACACGGGACGCAGCCCGGCCCCGCGGAGCCCGCACGTACGGCGGAGCCCAAGCCCCCCGCCGCCCCCCCAGGTCACCCGGCTCGCACCGGCCCGCAGGGCTCGCCTGTGCCCCTCGGCCCGGCACCGCCAGGGTGTGTGCCCAGCACGGGGCCGCCCGGGTGAGGGGCCCGCCGTGGGCTCGGCTCAGCCGACCGGACGCTTGGGATGTTCTGCCTCTGGGTTGGTCTCTGCGCAGCTCTGCACCCCCACCCCCGCCGTTACCGCGTGCGGGACAGAAAAAGGGGGCGGGGAGAGAGCCCCCCGGGACCTACAGGCGGGGCAGCTCCTGTCCCTGCACAGGTGCCCCTTTGGGTTCAGCCCAACGACGCAGCTCCCGGGGCCGGGCTTTCGGGGTCTCGGCCTCGTTCCACCTTAGGGAGCGGCCCTGGCCTTGCTGCCCGGGGAGTTTCCTCCGAGGGCCACAGCTCCCGGAGACCCTGCTCAACGCCGGCTTTGCTGGTGGTGTGGGGACGGGCTGGGGGGTGTCCACAGCTGCCGCCTTCCGCCACCCCACGGGGAGCCCCAGGCAGGGGAGGGGACGCAGGCTGGGCCCTCCCAGCTCAGGCCCCAAGCCCAGGGCTTCAGGACGCGCTCAGGCCAAGCCGGCACCACGGCTGCTACGGACCGTCCTTGCTGCCCAGGCCGCGCGGGGAGCCAAGGCCGAGGGGAGCCTTACGGCACGACAGGCTTTATTTTCGACGTCCCCCAGCGGTGCTAACGCCACGGGCAGGTAGCAGGCTCCGCACACATCGGCCCTGGGAGGCCGCCCACAGAGGGAGCAGGTGGGGACGCCGAGAGCCAGGCCAGCCGACCCTGAGCCCCCTGCCCACCGTGGGGGCCACAGAACGGGGGAGGGCCGGGGGCACAGAGGGTGGCACTTGGCCCTCACAGGGCTGGGGGGGGCTCACCCCGACTGGGCGCATGGAGTTCAGACGCTGCCGCCCCGGTCGGTGGGGGACCAGGGAGCCCGCCCCAGGGGGAGGCTGGCCCGGAGCCTTCGTGCCCACATGTTCAGTCTCAACCTCAGAGTGTCCTGAAACCATCGGGTCCTTAAGGGGCCTTCCAAGTTTTCCGAGGATCAAGCTTCAGAGGATCGGAAGTTCCACGAGGGGACTTTGGAGGGGGGGGCGCTTCATCCCGCCCCTCACAGCCGGGGCCCATGTCCGGTGGCTCAGGCTGCTCCCGGGCCGTGTCCGCGCCATCCCCCATCCGCGCCGTCCCTACGCGGACCGGCAGCCCCACCGGCAGCCCCACGTCGCACCACTTTCCTCCTTGGTGTGAAATGCGAGGAGGCCTCAGGTCCACACGGGAGCACTTGCTCTTCTGAGAATCCAGACTAAGGCCGAAGGGCAAGGCGACGCCGCGTTGCCCCGGTGGCAGGGCTGGGCCCCGGGCTGTGCACATGGCAAATCTGGGGACGCAGAGGGGGTGCCACGGAGCCGGCAGGGCCCCAGGAAAGGCCGGGGCTCCCCCACTGCGGGGGCAGGTCCTGCAGCTGCTGAGGGTCTGCATGCATCCGGGTCCCAAGACGCCTCCCCAGGGGGCTGGTGGGGACACCATGAGTCAAGCCAGTCGACCCTGGGCCCCACGGTGAGCTGGGGGCCACAGAATGGGGGAGCGCTGGGGGCCGGCCTGGGCCTCACCCCGACCCGGGGCACCCAGCGCAGCGCTGCAGCTGTGGCCAACACGGGGCAGCCAATGATGCCTCAGCCCCAACTTCCTTGTGGACTCAGGAGAAGCCACCGATGGCGCCGGTTCACGCCCACATTCCAGGCCTCCAGTGACTGGGGGCCAGCAGCAGGGCAGCAGGATCAGGGGGCATCGATCCCGTGGCCCAGGTGAGAGTGGCAGGCGCTGAGGCCCGTGCCTCTCAGGCCCTGCCCTGGCCCTGGTGGTGTGTCTGGCACACAGGGCTCCGGGGGCATCTTCCCAGCCATGGCAGGAGACCAGGTGCCAGTGCCCGCGGGCTGGCCGCAGCCACAGCCCCAGATGGTCCCTCCTGCAAAAGCCCAGGCTCCCCCAGGGTCCAGGCTGGGGACATGACTAGAGACCCCAGGACCCCCTGGCTCCGGGCGGCTCTACCCCTGGATGTTGGAACCTCAGTTGGGGCCACATGGGCCTCTGTCCCCCGCCTGGTGCCATGGATGCCACCCTGGCCTCCCAGGGGGCACTCCTCTGTCCTCTCAGCCCCAACCCAGGCCAGGCTTCATTTCTCAGAGACGGTCATGGGCAAGGGGGCCTCCTTTCCTTCCTCTTCTACCGAGAACATGACGTCCCCACAGCTGCCCAGAGGTGGTTCTGTCTCCTGCTCCGGGAAGTGGGGGGCATGGTCCACTTCCAGATCCTCCTCGAACTCAGGCCCTGCCGGCCCCACCAGGCCGCGGCCCTCAGGCCCCTCGGTCCTGACGGTCCCCACAATCACGGTGTCAGCCTTCATGATGTAGATCTTCTCTGCAAGGCAAATGGATGGGTGAGGGGAGGGCCGGAGCCCTCGCTGGACAGAGCAGGCAGGCGGAGGGGGGTCCGAGGTCCCACTCTGTCACCCCTACTGCGTGGCTTCGGGCAAATGACACACCCTCCCGGATGCAAAGCCACCCCCACCAACCTCAGGGGCGTCCTGAGGCTCAAAGAAAGAAAACAGCTGGAAACCACATGCTGAGAGTGAGGGATGGCCCACTCGCTCCTCCTCGCTCCTCCCGGGAGAGGCTCCCTATCTACCTGGACCCATGGATCTGGATCGATGGACAGCTGGGGATGGGGTAGAGGAGGGAGCAGCGCTGGGAGAGAAAGCGAGCCCGGGGGAGAGAAAGCGGGGGTGCAGCCCCCCCGCCATGAGCACCACGGTGGCCAGGCTGAGCGCTCACACCCCGGTCCCCGTGGGCACATCACGAACCTGGAGCCCCGAGAGGTTAACGGGCCCGCCCAGGTAGTTGGCAGGAACCTCAGGAGACGCTCCCGCCCGCCCGGCTGCCCTTTCCAGTCCTGTCCTGTGCCTAGATCAGAAGCCGGGGTGGCCCGGGCTCTGGTTTGCCCGAGGTGCTCCCGGTGTTCGTACGGGGGTCCCGAGCCCCTGGGAACTTCGGTTCAGGTCAACCCAGACCCCTGACCGCAGTCTCAGAAACCTGGGCCCTGTTAACAACCTCCCGCCCGAGGGCTGCGCAGTGGCGCCCGAGCAGCACCAGCAGGGCGGCGGGCGTGACGCCTGGATGAAGGGAGGCAGGTCCCCTGCGGGCCTCAGCACCATCTGCTGGGAAGGGGTGCAGGGAGGCTCTGGGGGAGCTAAGTAAGCCGCCCAAGAAGCCGGGAAGTGAGGAGCCTGGCCTTCACCCAGCCCAGCTTCTGACGGCCTTGAGCTCAGCGCGGGGTCCCAGCTCCCAGCGGCTTGGCCCTGGGACTCTCTGGAGTGGGAATGAGGAAGCTCAAGAAGGAACTTGAAAGCTGGGGTGGAGTTGAGGGCTGGGGTCCTGCCTCTCTGGGTAACCCAGTTATACCTCTCTGGTTCAGGAACACCCTGGGGGCCCTGCTCCCCTCGACCCCATTGCATAATGCTGGCTCTTCTGTTTGGGTTTTTATATCTTTAGGGAAGAGGGAAGTGTTCAAAATAGCAAGGATGGGAAAAAAGCTGTGAGTGTGGCAAGCTGTGCGCAGGGCGCCCACACACACCCCAAAAGAGGGAGCAGGGCCCCGGGCACGGGCCGCACACCCTCCCCCGAGGCCTGCAGGCCCCTTGCTCGGGAGCCTGAGCAGAGAGGGGCCAGGGAGAGGCGGGAGCCAGGGGTGGTGACAGAGGGCACAGAGCAGCCAGACGGGGCTGGAGAGGGCGAGGCACAGGCAGCGGGGCGGAGAGAAGAGGGAGGTGGGTGGTCAGGTACAAGAAGCCAAAGCCGGGGCCGTCTCCTGCCACCTCACATTCCGAGGGCCCTGACCGCTCTTACTCTGACCCTCATCACAGCACCCCCCTCCGCCAAATCTGGGAGAGGAGGGGAGCGTCTTCCAGGAGCTGCTGGAACCTTCTCCCCCACCCAGGGCTCTGGAATCCAGGAGTAGTTATCTCCGCAGGTGGGAGGTGAGGGGCTCCCCTACCTGGTGCCCAGGGGCAGAGGAATAAGGCTCAGGCCGTAGTTTGGTCCCCCCAGGGCACTGGGCAGGTTCAGTGGGGCAGGGTGCTCCTCTGGGATGGTGTCAGGACAAAAGGCCCCCGAGAGAACCCCCAAGGCCGTCTCCCCCGAGCACCCCGCCTGCCAGCGAGGCTAACGGACTGCTGAGCAGGACGCCCACCCCGCAGCACCCCTGGGAGCCCAGCACCTCCCTCCAGCTGCCCCACAGCTCCTGCACTGCACTCAGCACAGACTCAAATGTCCGAAGCAGGATTTCTTAGGAAATTTAAAGGAGATGCCTTTGGTGGTATTTCCCCCAAATGAAACTCTTTATAAATAAAACTTGCAGAAAGCTCCAATGCCAAAAGTTTTGGTTTCAGACGAAAGACTCTGCCCCAGAGAGTTCTATCCACCAACGCCTGCGGTAGAAACGTGCAGGACAATTACAATGCCCCTCTGGTATCATCCCAGCAAGGGTGAACGCTCCAGAGAAGACAGCCATGGAGCTCACAGCCGGGGTGGGGGTGGGGGGGTACACACAGTCCCACTGCTGGGTGCTGAGGGTGCTGAGGCCAGAGGCCTGGGGCCTGGGGGAGCACAGCATCTGGTCTAGACAGGAGAGTGGAGAGGGCCAGGAAGACTTCCTGGAGGAGGACGCAAGTGAGCAAGGGCCACAGGACACCAGAGATGGACTAGATTCAAAGGAGGAGCTGGCTGTCCCGGGTGAGGCAGCAGCGCCCACAGAGGCGCTCGGAAGGGAGAGAGGGCTCCCCGAACTCTGGAAACTGCCAGTGAACGGGAGGCACAGACAGGAGGGGTCAGGAGGCAGGGGGGTCTGGTGGGGCGGCGGCGGCAGCGACCAGTAGGAACAACCGAGTAAGAATCCTGGAAGTCATCCTGAGGGTGACAGGGACCCCGGGGCCTGAGCAGGGGCGCAGAACGGACAGCCGTGATTTTGGTGGCAACACTCCGGGTGTCCCTGGGGGGAGCGCAGTGGGAGAGGAGGCAGAGAGACCCTGGGGGTGGCCGGGCCGGGCAGGGCAGGGCTCCTGGGGTCTCTGCAGAGGCCCCCTGTCCGCCTGTAGCACCCCTGCCCGGTAGGGAGGCCGCGTGGCCACAGAGCACTGGCACGTGTCCTCCTGTCCCTCCGAGGGCTGCTTGTTGGGGGCGGGCGCGCTCCGGGGCTGCTCACTTCAAGGCTGGCAGACCCTGGGCGGGGGGAGCCCCTCGCCCCCCCCACCCCCCCAGGATCTCACAAACGCTCTCGATGGCCCAGGAGCGCAGAGCCCCCACTACTCCGACCCCACAGACCTCAGCCGGGGGCCGCGCTGCAGGAACACACCCCATGGCGCTTACCTCCCTCCCCAAAAGCTGCTCCTGCTTGCGAGGCCAGCGGCAGAACCCACGCACGCTCCTTCCTGCCCCCAGCCCCGCCCCCAGGTCCCCAGTTCTGCTCGGGCCCAGGGTCCAGGCCCACCTCCCCAGCGCCCTCCGCTGTGCCCACAGCAGGACCCCGTAAGCGGCAGACTCACCGATCCTGTTGTTGGTGTGCTCCGAGGTCAGCCGGGGCTCGGGAAGGTCCCTGGGGGACGGGGGACCGCCGGCCGGGCTGGCTTCTTCCAGCAGTCGCATGCTCTCCAGGCAGGCCGCCCCGTCGGGGCCGGGGTCCACAGCCGGGGAGCTCATTAAGCCCACCTCTTCCAGGCCTGACTCGACCACCGATATACTCTTCTCCAGCTGCTGTGGGCAAGGGGACGTGGCGCTGATGCAGGTGCCCCCCACCACCCTGGGAAGCCCCGTTTCACCACCTCTGCCTTCAGGCTGCTTCACACCACCCGTGGCTCCTGGGCTTTGAGAGCCCGAGCCCTGTGCAGAGTTTCAGGAGTCCTGTTGCTCTTAGCCTGTACTAAATAACGACAGTGGGGGCGCATGGGGAGGCTCAGGGCGGGTCCCGGGGTCCTGGGATCGAGTCCCACGTCGGGCTCCCTGCGTGGAGCCTGCTTCTCCTTCTGCCTGTGTCTCTGCCCCTCTCTCTCTCATGAATAAATGAATGAATGAATGATAGTAGCCAGCATCCCATATGGTACTCACTGTGTGGCCTTAACAAACATGTCGATCCTCACAACCACCCTATAAGGTGCTAATACTAGTATCCTCTCCATTTTACAGACCAGGATACTGAGACACAGGAGAATCCAGTAACTGGCTCAGGCTGGTTAGTAAGTGTCCGGGCCAGCACGCGAACCCTGCCCCGTACCTGGCGCTGGACGTCCGTGCTCCAGACCCACCACAACCCACCAGCCCTGACCTCCTGGGACAGCGATCGCCTACAATTACGCTAACGTGTTCTAAAAGTAGCTACGTCTTCAGGAAGATGGTGGTTTTGTTTTTGACTTTCATAGGTACGAATAAAGAAGTGGTCTCGTGGAACATTCTAACGCGTACTATTTACTTTCAGCCTTTAAATGGGGTTTGAGTGATTCACAGAGTATGTCTACGTAGCCCTGACTGTCCTTTTAGAAGAATCTGAAGTCCAAAAGGTGGCATTTTAAACAAGTTGCTATGAAAATACTGCCTCCCACGGCCAAGAAATGTTAGATTATCTTATAAATCATTAAATGCCTTTTCATGAAATTTCCTGGTATTCTAACAGCCACTTATCTGACCCAAGCATATTTGAATGTGACCCCCCCATAATTTGAAAGTGAACTCATACTGTGGTTCTATCATTTAAAAAAATTAAGGGATGGAAACCTTTCTCCTTGAATGAATGTTTGAGTTCAAAGAAAGTCACGGAAAAACTGATAAATGGAAAAAAAAAATATGGGTGAACCATACCCACCTGAGAGCTGGCCACACGGAGTGCTCTGTCCTGCCCCGTCCTCAGCCCCACAGGGCACCGTCCCTGCCCTCACCCCACCCTCCACCGAGGCTGCTCAGCGAGCAGGGGCCAGGCTGAGCCCGGGGGCCGGGTGGGGGCCCCTCCCCGCTAACCGTAGGCTCAGGGCAGCACGGCCCGGCACCTGCGCACAGCAAGCTCTCTGTAAAAGGCGGGTGAAGAGGTCCTTCCAGCGCGGGGCAACAGGTCGGGCGCTGGCTTTGGAGCCACACAACCCGGGGTTCAAGTCCAACCAGGGTTCGCTCATCTACTTTCCAAACGTGGAACGAACCTCCTCTCGCATCTGTGCCTGTTTCCCCTTTTGGGACATGGACAACGGTACCGACCTCGGAGTGCCAGAAGGACACCGAGGATAACTTTGGAAGGCACAGAGCGAGGTGCCTGCCTCATCGAGAGTGTTCCATACGTGGTGGGCAAATTTTCGTGATTTTTTTTTTTTTTAAGAGAAAGAGCATGAGCAGGAGAGGCAGGAGAGACACAGAGCAGGCTCTACACTCGGTGCGGAGCCCGAGGCAGGGCTCAGTCTCACAACCCTGAGATCACCTCCCAGACTGAAATCAAGAGTCGGAGCTTAGCCAACTGCACCACCCAGGCGCCCCCGTGATGCTAGGTTTTCAGAGTCGCGCTATGGATTTGCCATCCCAGCTGTGAGAACGAGAACCACAGAGGAGTGAAGGAGAAGGGGAAGCAAACACACAGCCTTTCTCTGACCACACCTGGCACCCAAAGCAGCCAAAACCAAATCCATGGTCGGCCAGGCCCTTCTGGAAGTCCCCTGCAGGATGAGCCAGGAGTCAGAGGCTGTGAGGGGGCGGAGCTCCCCATCCTCCTCCAGGCCCTGGCCCAGGCCCCACCGTGCTGCCCGGTCTGCTGCGGCAGACCCAGCTGAAATCGCAGGGGAGCCCACACCCGGGTCACTGCGGCGGGGGGGGGGGGGGGGGACACGATGATGACGACTACGACCCATCAGCGGCTCTCAGAACCAGCAGATCCGCTGGCAAAGGAGTCCGATTTAGGGGCACACAGCCGGGGAGGCGGGGCAAGGAAGGGCTACTTACCATCAGGTTCTTCCTGGGCCTGGAATCTGCAAAAACAAACAGAGGAGTGACTTCAGCAAGGAGGGTCCGGCCCTGCGCCAGCCCACGGATGGGCGGCAGCACACTGGTCAGGCCCGCAGTCTGGAGCACAGTGGACGGCTTCAGAATCGGCGCCCACGCCTGGGCACAGAGACTCCCTTCCCGGTGCTCGCTGCGGCAACGGCAGTGGGAGAACTGGGAAGCACGTCTCTCCAGCCACTACGCCAAGCGGCGCACCGGACTCCTGCCCCTGTCCCCACCCCACACACGTACAGGAGGGGGCCAGGACAGGCGCACACTCCAGGCCGAGCCAAGGAGGCTTCTGCTGGCTCAGAAGTTGGTTTGTGAGGACGCCCGGAGGACCCAGCAATTGAGCGTCTGCTTTCGGCCCAGGGCATGACCCCGGGGTCCGGGGATCGAGTCCCGCCTTGGGTTCCCCGCAGGGAGCCTCCTTCTCCCTCTGCCTCTCTGCGGGTCTCTCATGAATAAATACATAACATCTTAAAAAAAAAAAGAAGTAATTGGTTTGTGGCTGCTGCCACTCCCTTGTAGCCCCCACGGCCTAGAGAGTCCAGAACTCCCAGAGCGCCCTGCAACCTCGCATGGAAGACTTCAGGGCTGGGTGATCATGGATGACAGATTGTGAGGGCTCTGCTGGGCCCTGCACTGGACACACCCAATGCCAATCGACCTTGGAGGCCTTTCGAGGGAGTTGGGTTTTCTATTACATGTGCCTGAAGGAGCCCATGTGACCACTGACCACCTTCGAGCAGGACAGCTGCTCATCATCATCCCACCACCTGCCATCCCCCTCTGGGGGGCTCAGGAGGTGATGATTCACTGACTCTTAAGGCACAACTTTACCTCCTCGTCCCAAACCTCCACCCTCTACACCAGCGTCTCTCTCATATCAAATACGGGGCCAGGTCATGGCCAAGCATAAGTTGACATTTAGCCACGGCCCACTGCTCATCTGAGAAAGCTGGAGATGGCACCCAGGCGTCGGTCTACCCTGGAGCCAATCACCTCCTGTGTGTCTGGGGACACACAGTCCAGATGATCCCTGAGGAAGTCCCCTCAGAGACTTGGAATATGTTGTGCCATGTGCAGACCTGACTGGAGAAATCTGCTCTGAAAATGCCAGTGAGCTAAGTCACCTCCAGAACACTCTGACTTCAGCAGCTCGGGGACCCATGAGCCCCAAATCCTAACTGAAATGCTGAAGGCCAACCAACTGCAGTAAGATAAACAAGACAGGCGGTTTGAAAGTGCTGTGTAGACACTAGGTTAGTTTGGGGAAAACTCTTACACGTACCTTCTAAGTGACTATCAGCAGGTAAAAGTGTCTAAAGAGGAAATGAACCAGAATGACGGTCAAAAGAAGAACACATATAAAATGCCACAATTCTGGATTCTTTCTTCTTCTTCTCTCTTTTTTTTTTTTTTTTTTTTTAGAGAAAGAGAGAGAGTGGGGAGGAGGGGCAGGGCAGAGGGAGAGAGGGCATCTCAAGCAGGCTCCACATCCAGCACAGGGCTCAATCTCACGACCCTGAGATCACCACCTAAACTGGAATTAAGAGCTGGAGGATTAACTGGCTGAGCCACCCAGGCGCCCCTTCTGGAGTCTTGATTTAACAAATGCACAGTTTCCTCTGCCTAGTAACTGCTGCTCCCAGCAGAAGTGGTCACCTTGGGAGGCTGCGGCTCATTTCTGCTAGGTGGCCATTGTCTGTTACCCAAGCCACTGCTCCCTGGCCCAAAGCACATTCTTTTATCTTGTTTATTTACTTATTTTAACATGATCAAGTAATATTTATTCCAGGGATGCAAGGATAGTGCAACATCCACAAATCAACTGATGTGACACACTACATAACAAAACAAAGGATAAAAATCATATGACCAGCTCAGCAGGAGGCACATTCTTTTAAATGATGTCTGTGAAGCCTTATGTTTGCCCTTGGAGAGGGATGTTGAGTTTTACCAACAGCCAGGGGTGAGCTGGGTGGCGGGGGAAAGAGCACAACAAAGTAACAAGATAAAATAAAATAAAAATGATAAAATTCAGTATTGGAGAGCATGTGGGTAAAAAGGAACATAGTGGTTCATGCCCTGTGAACTGGTTCCATGTTTCTCAAGAGCCATGTGGCAATGAAGACCTCATACCCTTTGACCCAGTAATCCCTCTTCAGGGACACACCCTCAGGAAATAACCCGGGAGAACACAACAAGGCCGTGCGCAGACGTGGTATTTAGAATAACCCAAAACCTGAAAACAAGCCAGATGCAAAACAATGAGGCAGCTCATCAGTCTTGAAGTAGAGGCCTTCCTGGCAGGGAACCCCCAACATAACATCACTCCACCTTCCCGGCCTTAGTCCTCGTATCTGGAAAATGGACACGTCACGCCAACTTTGGAGGGTCTTTATGAAGATTAAATGAGCCTCGAAACGTGAAGGTGCCCAACGAGCAGTCACACAGGGAGCATGTGCCTTCCTACGAGGTGATGAGAATGGCCGTCTCCCCCACCCTCCAAACGCGTAACCCCGCTGTAATCAGGGGAAAATATTAGACAAATTCCAATAGAGGGGTATCCTGCGCACAACTGGCCGGCCCATGCTCCTCAGAACTGCCAAGGTCATCAAAAACAGGAAAGTCAGAAAAGTCCAGAGGAGCCCGAGCAGACATGACAATTAAATGTAACGTGGTATTCTGGGGGGGGGGGGCCTAGAATAGTAAAAAATACGGTGGGTAAACGTTAATAAACCTGGGGCACCTGGGTGGTTCGGTCGGTTAAGCGTCTGCCTCGGCTCAGGTCATGATCCCAGGGTCCTGGGGTCGAGCACCTCGTGGGGCTCCCTGCTCCGCGGGTGCGTGCCTCTCCTTTTCCCTCTACACCTTGCTCCCCTCAACTCATGGGCTCTCTCTCTCTAATAAATAAAATTTGTAAAAAAAAAAAAAAAACTCATTAAAAAAAAACCCTCAGTAAACCTAAACAGAGTAAGGCCTTTAGTTAATAGCAAGGTATCAATATTGCCTCATTTATTGCAACAAATTAACAGAAGATGTAAATGACGGAGGAAACTGGGCGTGGGGTACACAGGAACTCTCTGCACTAGCTTTTCAAATATTCTACAAACCTAAAACCGTTCTAAAACTTGAAGTCTGTTTAAGACTTTAAAAACTTAAATGTGAAAAAGGGACAGTGTGCAGGAGGCTGCCTGGCACGTCGTGGGCCCCAGATGTTGACGTGGCACGATGCTCTATCACCCCAAAGAGAAAACTCAGCATTTGATACCAACTCTTGGAAACAGGCATGAAATGTCAAAATCCAGAGGCACCAGCGTCTGCCTACAGCTGCGTTACAACCCACGTGTGGACTTTGATAAAGACCCAGAACAAAATGTGCCAAGGACAGAGGTCAGACTTCCTAAGTGCACTTCCCCTAAAAATGTGGCTTCAGTCCACTGGCTTTGTTTATTGGTTTCCTTGCTTTGGGGAATAACTACGATCTTCTTATAAATGCATCTGGGACACGAGGACGTGAGTCCAGGACACACCAGGCATCGGTGGCCTCCCTGGGACAAGTGCACAGGATCTCCGGGGCTGCTGTGAGGGCCGCTGCGGCCAGGCACCTGAGCTGTGACACCTACGCTAGAGGTCCCGTCCATCCCAGTCCCCCCCTTCAGTGGCAGCCCCCGTCTGGCCTGGAGGCCCGGCTGCTGTGGGAAGAACAGACCCGAGGAAGGAGCCGGGCACAGAGGTTCGGCCAGGCTTTGGCAACCGGCACCCCTAGGTTCTGATCGGGGCTTCCTGGAGACGCAGCTGATTCCAGGGTGAGGCAGCAAAGTACCAGGTAAGTCGGGGTCACCTTAGAGTGCTCAGAACAGGGAGGATGGGACAGGACGACACTGGGGGCAGCTTCAAGGGCCCCTGCCGGCCTAACGTGAACATCAAGTTAAATAATGATGGCAAGAGAATAAAAGAGAAAGCCCCGAGTCCATGCAGACAGAAGGACAGGGGAAGGAGGAGAGAGTGATGAGGAGCTGCTTACTCACAGGGCCTCGAAGTAAATCCCCGAAAGAGCTTACTGTTTGCCAAGGGGAAAAGATCAGCCTCGTGCTGGCGCAGCTGGCAGGCGCTGCTCAGGGCAGGTGCTCAGAGCCGGCCACGCCCACAAAGCGACTGGCGGGCACCTGGCAGGGGGGCCGCCACCACGGGAGCTCAGCGGCCCTCCCGGGATCCTCCCGCCTCCAAAGACGCACGACCTGACCCCATCTCTGATCGTGAGGACGCACGAGGCAAACCCAAGGCGAGGGACATCTGCCATCTGCCAACTCGGGTAGAATCCTCAAAAGTGGCCAGGTTGCAAACATGACAGAAAAGACAGGAATGGACCTAGCTGGAGGGACCCGAGAGACCCGACAGCCCGATGCGACACACAGTCCTGAGCTGGCTTCTTCTGCTCTAAAGGACGTGGTTGGGACAAGTGAAGGAACGGAATGGGGTCTGAGAATCAGTTGGCGGCAGTGCATCAGGGTGACGTCTCTGACTTTGACCGTGTCACTACGTTGCGTAAAAGTACGCCCTCGTTTGTGTGAACACAGGCCAAGGTACCTGGAGATGATACGGCATCACGTCACTACCTCATCTCAGAGTTCAGAAAAGCAAGTTCTCTGTATTGTCTTTGTGACTCTTCCACCGGCTTGAAACTGCTTCAGGACAACACAAAACTTTTTTCCAACTTAAACCTGCTCGAAGTAGCAGAGAATGACTCTAGCGTCAGTGAAAACAAGAACATTAGTCAGTGTTTCTCAACCAGGCACGATTCCCACCCCCAGGTTGACACTTAGCAGCGTCGTCCCAGCCGGGAGGGGGTCTACAGACCAAGGACCCTGCCCAACCTCCCCCTACAGCCAAGGATGATCCGGCCCCACGCGTCAACAGTGTTGAGGCGAGAGGCCCTTTCGCACCCCCGAGAACAACAGAATCCTGCTCATGCTGCTTATGAACCAAGTGGCCTTCAACAAATCCCTCCACCTTCCCATGCCCCGCCTCCTCATCTGTGAAATGGGACCAAAACCAGCAGATGTGGCGGCAGCTCTTTCTGCCCACGGGTCCCATCCTCGTGCTTTAATAAAATCACCTTTTTGCACCCCCCCCCCAAAAAAAGTGCCTCACAGGCCCACTGTGCACATGTATGTGCTTTGCAAGCACGTGCCACGGAGGACACGTGGCGTGAAGTCAAATCAATTCAAGGGATGGCTGGTAAGCACAGGAGCTCCCGGACCGGGCGGGGGGGGGGGGGGCACGCAGGCCCATCCTGCTGGCCCTGAGTCTGGAAGCTAGGGAGAGCTCGGGCCCGTCTCTGTACCCAGCACAGGGCCACCTGGACAACGACACAATGACGGGAGTTCCTGAGTGAGCAAGCACGGAATGAAATCCCCTTCGCCCCCTCAGCTCCCACTGCTCCGGAGGGAATTCTCAGCCTGAGCCCTGCGTGCTTATCCCGGCCTCGCCCTCCCTCCATCTCAGGCCAGGGACCCAGGCCCCCCCGCCAAGGACCCGCCGGAAGCCCGAGGGCCAGAAACAGCCCCAAACAGGATGGTCGCCACTGAGTCTCAGGGCTTGGTTTCTTGTAGGTCTGGCTTCTTCAGAGAAGGTGCTGTTTTTCTCTCTCTTTCTCTGTGGCAAAACTGCCATCACGAAGGTTTGAAGAAAAAAATAAACTGACAGCAATGGAAATTCTAATACTAGAAAAATGTCAAGAAAGCAAACACAGGTTTCAATGAGACATTAAGGCTGACAGCTCATGGAAAAAGGCTTGAAACTATCAAAACACAAAAACCCCCCTTGCTAAGGGCGCACGAGCACCTGCTATGAAACTCATCAAATTCAAAACAGGCCTCAGTGGATAAGGTCTGTGCCCCAAGTCAACAGGCGGGCTGCAGTGAGGGCCTCCCGGGGCCCTGGGGAGATGGGGGGCGAGAGGGCCCTGACCAGCCTGAGGCTGACCACCGGGTTCGTGGGTAGATACCGGAAGTGGCCAAAGCTGGAGGGGAGGAGGCAGACGTGACAGGTCTGAGCCCTCCGAGAACGCAGTCTGCAAAGTCTGGGTCTCACCGGCTGTGTGGCCCTGGCCAGTTACCCACATTTCTGAGCCTTGAGTCTTCCTGATGGAACAGGGATCATCACCCACCTCCCTGGGAGGCCCCGGGCTCACCCACTGGGGGAGCCAGCCTTGAAACCAGAAAGGGAAGCCCAGGCAATTGCTCACTCCTTCCCCTGTGATCAGGGCCCGGCACACAGTAGGTGCTCAATCAGTGCTTGTAGAGAGCTGATGAAGACCTTGCCCTGCCTGGAAAGGGCTGCACGGGAGAGAAAAGGCACTTGGCACAGATGGCTGGGACCCCACACACACTCCAGGTGACGGCTAGAAATAGGGCAGGGGCTCTGACCGGTGGCCTGCACTAGTTGGCCTGGGATCAGAGAGTGAGGGCCAGGGAGGGCTTCAGAACAGCCTAGAAATCAGAAGGCTCAGAGATTCCTGCTGAGGAAACAGGCCGTCTGTGCTCTGCATGGCACCGGACAGGCCTCCCACGACTAGGCCCATGCCCACCCCCTGAACTAGGTCCCACTACCCCCTTCCACAGGTGAGGAGGCTAGAGGAATGAAGAACCTCACTGAGGCCATGTGGGCCCTAAGGACCCCAAGGACCAAGATTCCAGCCCTACCAGCTGCCCTACAGACCCCTATGCCCCCCCCACCGCGGCCAGCAGGGGAGGGGGCGCAGAGCGATGGGGAGGAAGGAAGGGGAGGCGCTCAGGAATGCCTGGGGGCCAGCGCCGTGGAGGAAAGGATGAAAGACAAGACGGATGTTAAGCCTTCGTGCCAGCCCACCACCCAAACACCCGGAGGACGCTCCCACCCGCATCTCATTGCCAGGCAAGGCTGTGGAGACAGGGCGCCCCAGACCAGGGCCCAGAGCTGCTGTCTCCACGCGGCCCAAGGAGCCCCGTGGACATCTGGACACTTACCCGCAGGCTCCGGCTTGGGCCGGAAGGTCTGGACAGGATAGCACAGGTGCAGCTCTGAAATGACAGCGCAGTCGGCTGGAGGCACCCAGGGCAGAGACCCTCGGGGCTAGTGCACGGCCCCCGCCCTCCCTGGGCCCCAGGCCACATCCACTCACTCTGCTGAATCCACTTCCTGCAGGCCCTCCGGTGGCACAGGACGAAGGAGACGGAGCCCAAGACCACCACCAGGATTACGACCGTCCAGAAGAGCACGGGCCCTGGAACACAGGCGGCGCTGCACCAGCTGCCCTGAGGCGGGTGGGCTCTGAAGCGGACGTCACGGGAGCACCGGGGGCCCTGCCGCAAGCGCGCCGGACAGTCCTCACCCCAGACCTCACCCCAGACCATCTCTCCTTCTCCCAGGGCACAGACGGCATGGTGGCTGGCAGGACCCAGTCCCTCCCCAGGCGTCCACTTCCCTGTGTGGCCCTTACCCACCTGGCTCTAGGGAGCTCGTCAGGGAGGCTAAGTAGTTGGCAAAAGGGAAAACCATTTCTAGACAGTGCAAAACTGAGAAGTCGAGGGGCCAGGATGAAGCACAAGCGGTCCCAGAGCCCGCTGTCTGGGGGCCGTGGAGGAGGGCACAGGCCAGGCGTGGCCCCGGGCAGCGGGGTCAGGGTGGGGTCGGCAGAGCAGTGCAGAGGCTGAGCGTGGGCTCCGGTGTGGCTCCCAGCTCCCCTGGGGGGGAAGCTCCGTGAGGGCAGGCACGGGGTCCCCTCTGCACATACGCACCTCAGCACCTGTTCCCCCAACACCCCGGGGGCACCATCACCATCTCCTTTCACAAACAAGGGAAACTGAGGCTTGCAAAGAGGAACTCACTTAACCGGCGAGGGGTAAACCATAAGAACCACACTTGGGCCGGGCCCGGTCCGGAGGGGCGAGGGTAAACCATAAGAACCACACTTGGGCCGGGCCCGGTCCGGAGGGCAGCTCCAGCTCCCACGTGCTTAACCACTATCTGGATTTTTTTGTTTTGTTTTGTTTTGTTTTTTTACAACTTAAGTGAGTACTTGTTCCTTTTTTCCTTTTGTCCCTTGTGAAGATCGTGTATCGAGTTACTGTTAGGTCCACGTTCAGATGTTAAAAAGCAGTACGTGCCACGTGTGGGCTTCTCAAACCTCGCTGTGCAGCAGGCCCCGGGACCATGTTAACATACAGACCGAGGCTGGGGGCAGCTGGGGGCCCGCCCTGGCTCTTCAGGGAGCTGGGGCCACGCGGGGCCACGCAGGGCTGCGCTCTGCGGACGGCTGGCCGGAGGGCGGCTGCCACCTGCTGTTTGATGCTAGGACTGCAAGCCCCGAAGTGTGGGGGGGGGGCCCTTAGCGGGTGAGGAGCCAGGGCTGTGCCAGCGACAGGACCACAACTGCTTCCTGCCCTGCGGGCCACGTGGCGGGATGGTTTCACAGGCGACTAAGGAGGCTCAAAGGGATTAAGCAAGAGTCAAGGTCATGTCTTCGCTCACCGGGTACTCTCTGAGGGGTGGTTATGAGCCTTGGGGATGAGGCTGTGAATCCAATCCCAGCCCCTAACCGAGGCACGGCGCCCGCCCAACAGGCCCGAAACCTGGGATGAGCCTTGGGCTCCCCCCGCCCAGAGAGAAGCCTCCCCCCTCGGGCCCTCTGGGAGCCAGACCCTCTTTCCAGGAGGCCGTAGTTACCTGAAACCAGAACGGGCTTCCCGGTGGAGGAGAACGAGACAGGAGTGCTAGTTGATATGGAGGGGTCTCCCCAGGCATGGGTGATGGGCCCCCCACGCTCCTTACTGGGCTGGGGGTCTGCCGTGGGGACCAGAGAGGCAGTGGTGCTGTCAGGAGAGAAGGCAGAGACGGGCGGTTGAGCCCCAGTGGGAAGCTTGTGCTCAGGAATCGTCCCCGGGGGCACCAGCACAGGGCGGGCACACAGCCTCCAGAGTGACCCGTCACCTCAGCACACAGATCCAGCCCAGGCCCACCTCCACCTCCAGCCTGGCGGCCCCCAAAAGAGCCAGGGAGTCACCTGGTGGGCGCCGTGCTGTCGTCTGGGTTGATGCTGCACGCAGGGTGGGCCTCAGGGGGAGGCAGCTCACGGGGGGCAGCCCTCTCAGCCGTACCTGCAGGGACAGGGCTTAGAGTTAGTGTCAAGGAGCCCTGCCCAGCAGGACTGGTAACTTCCAGGGGTGCCTGGTGCTCAGTCGGGTAAGCATCTGCCTTTGGCTCATGTCATGACCCCAGGGTCCTGGGATGGAGCCGTGTCAGGCTCCCTGCTCAGCGGGGCATTTGCTTCTCCCTCTCTCTGTCCCTTCCCTTCTCTCTCTCTCAAAATAAAATCTTAAAAAAAAAAAAAAAAAAAAAAAAGAAAGGTAACTTCCAGAAGACAGCCGGGTGAGGCCAGGAGGACGCTGCAGCCCAGGAGACCCAGGCTGGTGTCCTGAGCTTCGTTCCTCCTTTCCCTCCCTCCTTTTTTCTGTCCATGCAACAACTCTCTAACAAGCACCTACTATGTCCCGGGGACTGTGCCGGGAGCTGGGACGTGGCACTAACTCGAAGAGACAGGATCCCTACCTACGTCAGAGGCTCACAGGCGTGGGAGGGCCCACAGACGTGACACAGGTGTCACACAAAGGCACGTGGGCTCCGTGTAACAGGGGGATCCACCTCGTCCGACTGGGCAGGCTTCCCTGAGGGGGTTGTCGCTGGGGTGTCTGGGGGGGCTATCTACGCAGAGGAAGCAGAAGGCGGGGCGGGGCGCCGCATAGGTTGGGGAGGGAGGAGACCGAGAGCCTGGGAGAGGCTGGTGAGCAGCCGTGTTAAAACATGTACACGACTGTCCATAGCAGTGCTCTTCACAGCAGCCAAAAAAGGGGAAACACCCAAATGTCCATCAACTGGTAAATGGACAGACAATATCCGTACCAGAGTATCACGTGGCAGTAATGCTACCGTGTGCATGAGCCTCAAAAGTACGACGCACAGTGAAAGAAACCTGACACGGACATGTGTTCTGGACCTGTCCAGAAAAGGTTAATCTGGAGGGACAGAGAGTAGGATCGGTGCTTGTCCGGTGGGGACGCCAGTGGGGACTGACACAGGGACTGACCACTAAAGGTGTGAGGCTTCTCGGATCGTGGGGAGGGGTTTACAACTCCGTAAATGTCTTTACAATCGCTGAATTACACACGTAAAACTGGTACATTCTGTGGTCTGTCAAAGTACTGCAATAAAGTTGTTCTTAAAAATTAGGCCTTCCTCCCCAAAGCAAGGATTTAATTAGCAAAGGGACGGGTCAGCGTGGTGGATCACGTCACGGTCCACCTCCTCAGCTGGGGAAGGCGTCTGTGTTCCCGCCTCACCGAAGCCCCGCGGAGCCGAAGGAAGTCACGGAGCCTGCTCCCAGCCCCGGCCGGCCGTTCTGCATTCCAGCGCGGCGGGAGGGGAGGGCGCTCCGGGGAGATATAGGAGAAGCACTCAAAGCAAGCCCAAACCAACCCCACGAACCCAGGCAAGACAGCAAGGCCCCCAGTGGAGCCCCGGGGGAGAGCTGAACCCTGAAACGTCCACGCAGCTTGTCACCCGCTATCCCTGCGGCGAGAGCTGGCTGAGACACGCAGGTGTGTGGCTCTAAAGACCAAAGTGGAAAAGCTGCACCTCATCTCCAGCCAACTGTGATCCTACAGGAAGGTGGCTTGGGGGCTCTAGACCTTCGGATTTTATCTCAAAGGGAAACCTGATAAGTACACATAAATAAATGGACGTAAAGACTATCTCCTGAGAGCTAAACACAGCCTCGATTTTTATCAAAATTCCTTTCTTTTGAAATCAACTTTATTAAGGCATAGTTTATATGGAAGAAAATGTCCCCTCTGTTGTGCAGTCTGATGGGTTCTGGAGATTGTATCCTGCCAAGTAGCTATACTTCCATTCAAGGTCTAGAACATTCTCGCCGTCCCAGAAGGCTCCGTAGGGTCCTTCTGCATAAATCCTCCTCCCACATTCAGGCAACCACTGGTCTGCTTTGTATCATCACAAATTAGTTTGCCTGTTTAGGATCTCATTGGATGGAATCAGGCAGTCTGTACTTCCCGGGGTCTGGCTTCTTCCTCTCGGCTTCCTTCTCTCAGCACAACAGTATTTCTGAAGTCCACCTCTGTCGCGCGGAGCAGTCCTCCAGTGGAGAGAGGTTCCACCGTTTATTATCTGCTCACCAGCTGCTGGACGTCTGGGTCATTTGCAGTCTGAAGCTACTACACGGCTAACGACAGCGCCTTGAATGTCCCTGCACAAATCTGTGAGGACGTGTAACCTCATCGTCCTTGCGTACTTCGGAGAGGAAAGGCTGTGTCACTGTGCTGACCAGAGGGAATGTCTTTGAGGTCCATTCAGAGACGGTCTCCTCTGATCTGACCCAGCTCCCTGTTTCTACAGATGGGAGAGAACCACAGAGCCAGAGCTGGAGCCAGAGGGCAGGGCTCCTGCGCACACTCCACCGGACCACGCCACCTCCTCCCCGGGGCCGAGCACACTCCTACAAGTTTATGATTAACTGCCTCCCTAGGGTCACGAAAACCGGCCCCATCTGAAGTAGGTCACACGCAACCACGTCCCTCTCCACCGTGTCCCTGGTGGCAGCACCCCTCCTCGGATGTGGCACAAAGCAAATATCTCAGCCACACTCATTTCCCTTCTAAAAAGCTCTCATGATGCTTCTCAGACTTTTCCTCAAACACTCTGAAGAGAAAGCGAAGCAAGGATTAAGTTCCTTCTTGGATTAGTAGGGTCCTGAGGAACTCTCTCTCGGGGAGGGTCTCCGAATAGATGCTGTCTTTCCTCATGGTCACCAGACTATAACCTGACTCATTGAAGCCCGCAGGCTTTAGGCTACGAGGAAGATGATGTGACTTGTCACAATAATTTCTGTTTATTTGCAAATCAGTATTTGAATTACATTTAAGATGTCATTGTTGTCACTAAGAGTTGACTTGGAGGGGGCTGGAGGTGTTCTCAAATTCCAACACACCACCTGCGGCTACTACCCCCGGGGTAGCACCACGAGGAGAGAGCCCTCTGGCCTCTAAGGCAGCCTCTGTCTGAGCTCCCACAGGAACACCTGCTGCAAGCCAGCAACAGAACTGCAGCCCTGGGGCGCCTGGCGGATCAGCAGGTTAAGCACCCGCCTTTGGCTCGGGTCATGATCCTGGAGTCCTGGAGTCCTGGGTTCCTGGGACCAAGCCCGAGTTGGGCTTCCTGCTCAGCAGGGTTTACTTGTCCCTTCCCTCTGCCCCTCCTCCCCACCCCGACTTGTGCCCCTTGCTATCCCTATTAGAGAGAGAGAGAGAGCGCACGCGCGAGCATAAACAGGGGAGAAAGGCAGAGGGAGCAGTAGGCTGATACGGGACTCAATCCAGGACGCCGAGATTTCAGGGCCCCGAGATCATGACCTGAGCCGAAAGCAGATGCTTAACCAAGCCACCCCGGTGCCCCAATAAACAAAATCTTAAAAAAAAAGGGGGGGGGGACTGTCCTTCTCTAAGTGGAGAAGGTGGCCCCAGTGGTCCCTGGGTGCCTCTGGACCTCTGCATGTATCATACCTCCCCTTAGCCTTCCTCCTTTGTCCCTGGTTTAGTGACCCTCCCCTTTTCCTCCTCCTTTAAGTCTGGAGGTGAACAGAAGGTATTGTCTAGCCCCTACTTAGTCTGCCTGTGTTCTCTGGTAAGGGCCACTGAAAGAGGGAAAAAAAAAAAAGAAAAAGAAACTACCCACTCTTAATCCCAACTTAGAACTAAAAAGGGTATTATTTACCAGACGGAAATACTTCTCTTTAAATCCAAACACCTGATCCTTGGGCCATGGGAATGACAATGGTCTTAGCATCAAGGCCAAAATGGATTCTCTTTTTGTGCATCCGGTAAGTGCTTAAAATCTGATGAAATTTTTATCTTCGTATTTGCAGTGTTAATTTCTTGTCAGCTTTTTATCTTCCCTAGAGTTTTCAATTGTGTTTCTTCTTCTTGCTGATAAAAAAAATGATGTGCCTTCATATCATCAAGTTTCTCAAACGTACTACTCATGAAGTTCACTGCAATTCTTTCATTCATTCCTGCAGACGAGACAATTGACTGGAGCCCTCCTCCATTCATCTGTTCTTAACCTGGCTCAGTTGGTCTGCAATACGGCTGTCATTCTGGGACTTCTCTGCTCTCCTGGGATAGAGTCACTGTTTTCTAGATTCAGGGCTTTTTTGTTTTTAGCCCCTCATTTAGCCAGATAACATCTTCAAGTAACTTTTATTTGTTTGTTTGTTTATTTGTTTATTTATTTATTTATATATATAGATATATATATTTTTTTTTTCCAAGTAACTTTCTAAGAGAAGACACATGAGGGAAAATCTTTCTGCCCTTTTACGTCTGAAAATGTTTTGGGCTTTTTTTTGCTTTCAAACTTAATTGTATCTTAATCAAATAGAAAATTCTAGGTTCACAACTAAGGAGTTGCTGATGTGGTCTGGTAGAGAGTACTCCAGGCTGGAACTCAGGATCCTCATCGTCCAGCTCTAGCTCTGCCTGAATGATTCTCTCCATCTGTAAAACTAGGTGGTAAGGTCAGATCATAGGCAGTGGCAGGCTCTGAATTGGCCCTCAAAGACGTTCTGTGCGGCCAGCATCGTGACCATCTCCTGGGTATTTACTCATGACAGACAAAAAGATACGTTTTACACAGAGTTGTACAAGAATTTTTGTGATTGCTTCATTCATAATAGCTCCAAACTGGAAATAACCCAAATGTCTGTCTATTATGGTGTGGGTCACCTTCACTCATCCTGCTCTGCTCTTAGTAGGTCCTTTCGATCTGAAGTCTCATATTTTTCAGGTCAAGTATACAAGGAAAGTTGGGGCACTGCTGTGGGTACAAGGCCTGGAAGCCACAATGACCAGGTCAAGAGGACCATGAGAAATGAGAATGTAGAAGACCCAGGGCTTGGGGTACGGGGTGCATGGAGGGAATTATGGCACTTCTGCTGACACGAGGCCTGGAGCGCACCAGTGTCCCTACTGGGAGGGTCACACCAAAGTGGTCACCAGATCCAGGCTGGGGCTGTGAGGCTGCCCAGGGACTGTCTACTCTGGGGCAGGGCACGACCAGATGGCCCCACCCATGTGCCCTGCTGACAGAGTGCACAGTTAAGAGCAAGAAAAAGCAAATGCAGCCACAAGAAGCCTCCTTCCTGCAGTGGCTCTCCAGTGCCCTGGCACCGGCAAAGCTTAGCGTCATGTTCACTAGGGGAAACCGTGGAGAGTCCAGTCCTTTACTGCGCAGCCGGTGGCTGACGGTGAAGTGAGAGCTGAGAGGCAGTACCTGGTACCAAGCACACTTTCTAAAAGCCTTTTTTTGTCCTCTTCTCTTATGGTCTCTTTTTCACAGCATTCTGTCCTCTCTGCCACGGATGCAGCAAGTTCTTGAATTTTTCTGTGGAAGCTAATTTAAATTTTTAGACTTCTATTCCTATTTCTAACGTAATTTCTATTGCTTCATTCATAGTCAGTTTTTCCGTTAATGTGTCTTGCTATTCTTTTTCACGCTGCTGGTTTTCCTTGTCAGTCTGAAGAGCTTTACTGCTCACTCATACTTACTTAGAAAGGAGTGTGACTATTCCAGTAGCTGGTGGGGTCTCTTCCGCTGCGGTGGTAGCATGTCCTTTCCACAGCGGGTCTCTTCCCCGAGGAGGAGGTCCACCTGGGAGACTCTGGGCCCATGGTGGGGAGCGTGGGCTGGCACTTCAGGGGGACTTAGCAGGGGTAGCCTATCAACAGGCTGTACCCCCCAAATACACAACCCAAGAGGGCTTTACACCACAGTGGCAGCACCGCACCAGCAGCCCTATGTTTCTCCAGATACTCCTTCAGCGTCTGCAGCCAAGGAGTTGATGATTTTCACCAGAGGATGAAAACCCAGGCACCACCTGTTCACACTGGTCGGTGTCTGTGGAATACCATTGTCCCGAGTATTTAGTTTTTATTTTCAAGATGAAGCTGCAGCCCACTGCATTTTTCAGTTCTCCACTTCGCTCCCATCCTTCAGTTCACTGCCTGCCCTGAGCTCAGAGCTTCTGTGGGGTCTTAAGAGCAAGTTACCGCTTACTTTTCCTGCAGCATTCATGGAGCAAATTCCAGGGGCAGCTTCCTTCTGATTTCATTTGTCACCACCCTTCCATCTGTGCTCCACCTTCTAGAAATGTGTTGAAATCTCTTGTGTGCTGATGAGCCTCTCCCCCCACTCCCCCACCATCAAGAGTTTGTATTTTTCTGCACTCTGGCATATGTCTACCACCTTGTTTTCTCTTGTTGCCTTTTTTAAAGTAAGTTCTACGCCCAACATGGGGTTCAAACTCCCAACCCTGAGATCATGAGTCACAGGCTCTACTGAGTCAGCCAGGCATCTCAAATGTCTACCACCTCGAGTTGGAGCCATCTTCAAAAATTTCATATTGCTCTATCTTGAGTCAATGAAATGGCCTTTCAAACAAGTCAAGATTTTACTAGCCTAACAATTTCAGAAGGAAGAATTTTTTTAAAAATTATCAGAATCTCTTACCAAAATGCCAAACCTAGATTTCTTTTATTTGTATTTTTTAGTAATCTCAATGTGGGGGTTAAACTCACAATCCCAAGATTAAGCGTTACATGCTCTTCAAACTGAGACAGCCAGGCACCCCCCTCCCCCCCCGATCTAGATTTTACTCCACTTACCTGATCTAACTGTTAAAACAAAACCAAGGCCCAAACCTAACCTATAGTAACAGCCAGGGCTGAAGATCATTTGCCCAATTGGGGGTGGAGAGAAGTTCAGCTACAGGAGCACTGACTTCAGCCCCTTGGTTAGAGGTGCAGAAAGCTTACCCTGGGGTTTGGTGACCATCCCTGGTGGGCAGATGGGGTGGGGGATACAGCGGGCACAGGAGTTGGTGGCTGAGGTGGCACAGAACATGCCAGGCCGACATTCACAGACGCGAGAGGAGTTCCAGGTGCAAGGAGTCTTCTCCACCAGGTCATCTAAGGGACAGAGAAGGGTCATGAGGATGGATCTGGAATGACAAGGGCAGGGGGTCCAGAGAACCCCCAGGAGGGCAGAGACGCATTTGCCCAGAAGCAAACACGCATGTGACTGTTCTGTTGAGCAGATCTTTTGGCATGCTCCGAACAGGCCGAGTGAAAGAAGGCCAAAAAAAAAAAAAAAACAAAACAAAAAAAAGCATACTATATGATAATACTGATAGAAAATGCTAGGAAGTGCAAACACTTCCACAGCGACAGAAAGCAGAATGATTGCCTGGGAATGGAGGCAGGGTGTGCACACCGGTGGGAGAGAGGATAAGGAACACAAGCAAACTTTCTGGGGAGATCATTCATCATTTTCCTTGATTGTGGTGATGGTTTCACAGCTGCGCACGTCAAAATGTACCACGTGGCACACTTTTCACATGTGCATTGCACTGCACGGCAATCATACTGCATTAAACGTGTTAAAAGAAAATAATCCAGAGGGCAGGGTGAGCGGGCATGGGTAAAGATGAAGCCACACTGACCATGACTTGACAATTCTTCAAAACTGGGTGAAGTCCATGACCATTCCTGATTCTACTTCTGAATTTGTTTGAAATTTTCAATAACGGGGCTCCTGGTGGCTCAGTCCGTTAAACGTCTGCCTTTGGCTCAGGTCCTGGGACCGAGTCCCATATCGGGCTCTCTGCTCAGTGGGGAGTCTGCTTCTCCCCTGCCCCTCACCCCATTCGTGCTCTCTCAAATGAATAAAATCTTATTAAAAAAAAAAAAAAAGAGGGATCCCTGGGTGGCGCAGCGGTTTAGCGCCTGCCTTTGGCCCGGGGCACGATCCTGGAGACCCGGGATCGAATCCCATGTCGGGCTCCCGGTGCATGGAGCCTGCTTCTCCCTCTGCCTGTGTCTCTGCCTCTCTCTCTCTCTCTCTATCATAAATAAATGAAAATTTAAAAAAAATTTCCAATGATAAAAAGGGTTTTTTCCCCAAAATAAAAGAAATATTAGAGGTTTTATTTAAAAAAAAAAAACTACTACAGTAATGCACTTATATGTGCTTGGGAATATTTTATGTGCTCTAAATGGGTGAAAAATAGAGTCACCACGTTAGTAGATAAGACAAATGTGACTTGCTCAGGAGGACTTCTCTCAGTCAGCAGGATACTTAAGAGACCTCAAATGGTAAAGGACCTCACAGCCTCTTCCTGAAACCTCCAGAGAGAGTGGGACCTGGGGAGGATTTGGGGAATTTGCGTGGAGGGCAAGAGTGAGCTCAACAGTGAGAGAGAGGACATGGGACAGTGACAGCTATTATCAGGATTATAGCTAGTAATATCATCAAGTGTGCGCAGGGCAGTATTAATACCACGGAGTGGGGAGGACACCCGCGTGGATCAGTCAGTTAAGCAGCTGACCCTTGGTTTCAGCTCAGGTCATGATCTCAGGGACGTGGGATCAAGCCCCATGTGGGGCTCTGCCCTCAGTAGGGAGTCTGCTTCAGATGTTCTCCCTCTCCTCCTCCTTCCCCCACTCCACGCGCACACACACACACACACACACACACACACACTCTCTCTCTCTCTCTAAATAAATAAAAATTATTAAAAACATCTTGAGAGCAAGCAAGGCGGTAGCAATACCACCAAGTGCATGGGGTACCATTCTTAGCCCTCTGCCCAGATTAACCTAGTTTAACCTATTTAATTCCTACAACAGCTCTCTGAGAGAATGCTATTACCATGCCCATTGCAGATGAAGAAACTGAGGCACAGAGACGTGAAGAAACGTGCTAGTGTTTCTAAGCTGCAAACTGGTAGAGCCAAGATTCGAACCAAAGCTCCTAGGCTCCAGAGTCTGCTCTTACCCCCGTAGCCTACCGACCGCTGCGCAGGACTTTCGCCCTTTCAGCTGAAGGACTTCTCGGACCCAGAGCCACCTCTTGTGTCTCTATCTGACCTGGTGGCTACGACAGATTGCATTTTTTTCCCCAAAAATGGCCAGAACAGCATTTCCAGCCCTCTGCCACTTGCCCATCGAGAAGCCTGATTCCTCGCCTTCCACGGACTCTGGTGGGATTCGTGACTGCCTCAAGAGGCACAAACTGGCGCAAGTCACGCCGTGTGACTTCAGAGGTAGGTTCAGAGAAGGGACAGGGCTTGTCTGCACCCCTGCCCCATCCTTGGGGTCCAGCGCCAGGCCTTGGGGATGCCCCACGTGAGCCACACAGAGGCTGACACAAAGAGCAACTGAAGCCCCCGCAGCAGCAGGCACCAGCCCCGGCCCCATGAATGGAAATGCTTTCAGAGGATTCCCACCTCCGTCTTCACATTTTCCAGCTGAAACCCCAGACCCGTGGAGCAGAGAGCGGCCGCTCCACAGCACCGCGTCTGGACTCTGACCCGTGGAACCCTTCAGTACAGTGAATGGCTTGTTTCTTGCCACCAAGTTTTAGACAACTTGCTACGTGGCTTAGTACCTGGAACGGTGGCCTTAGCGACAACAAGCAGCGTTCTTTCTCTGGCCTCGACTTCAGCTAGGATGAGAAAGCAACCTTGGACAAGGACATGTAGTCCCAGTTCCCCCCTCTGGTGGCCTCTGTGAGCGGGCTGGGACCGCGACCAGCCAGGGCCGTCTGGGGCCTGGCTGCTTCCCTTACCCTGCGTGGCCCTCACAGACGTCACGGGGCGGCTGGTGGTGCTGTGAGGCTGTGGTGAGCTGGCCGCGTACACAGCAGTCACCCGGTAAGTGCCTGTCTGCAGCACGTTCTAGGGGACAGTGCAGTGTGACCAGAGCCCAGAACCTCCACGTTTAAACTCCAGCCCTGCTGCTCTCCAGGCCTCCTGGCCTGTGTGAGGCCTCCCGTTCCCCTCTGTACGATGGGGATAATCATAAGCTACGCACCCCAAGACAGCTATGCAAAACGGTGAGACCAGTTTGGAACGGGTAGATGGTAACGAAGGTTTCCTTGCAAGAGTGAGCAAATGGAGCTCTCTGAGAGGCGGTCACCACCACCAAAGCCCCGCAGTCAACAGTGGGACTCAGTAAAGGCCAACTGCTCAGAGACATCAGTGAGGCGAGCTAGGCTCCCGAGGGCTGTGCAGCCCCAGGACGAACTTGGGGTTCCCCACCCCAGATCCTCAGCCAAGAACCCCTGCTCCCAGGAAGCTGCCCCTGGACGGGAGCCCCAGGCCCTCACCTCCAGAGCAGCTCACACAGGCCTTGCAGCGGCCGTCCCGGTCCAGGTAGTAGTCGGGCTCACACTGCTTCCCGCAGTCAGAGGACCCCTGTGGGCACAGCTGCTGCGCGGTCAGCCCTGGGGAAGGAAGCAGAGAAGCTCCAGGCCGGGCCACCAGCCCACCTCCGCACCCACTCACCACCCCCCGGCTCCATGGCCGGCTCCTGAACTCCACACATGTTGCATCAATCTTTCAAAGTCCTGAGCCCAGAGAGGGAAGGAATGTGCCTAAAGCCACAGAGGACAAGGCACTAACTGTCCCTGATTTCAGTCTCTTCCCTCTGCGGCCGGTGCGGCCACCATGCCCTCTCCCCGGCCTCACTGCTATGTCAAAACCCGGGGTGGGGGCAATTTCCCTCTGAGATCAGACGTGAGGCAAGGATGCCTACTGGCCCCAATATCTGTTTGGGGTGGCACCGGGGGACCAGGCAACGCGGGAAGGCAAGGAAAAGAGTGAGAGTAGCAGGGCCCGGAGAGGAAGACGTCAGGCTCTCATGGATAGACGGCGTCGTTAGGTGCACAGACAACCCCAAAGAATCGGCGGATCTGTTATTAGGACTAACAAGGGAGGTTAGCAAGGTGCTTGGATGTAATGCTATCACATCAAAATCAACTGAGCGTCTACATGTTTGGGCTGAACCATAGGAAGCTGCTACCCTGACAGGTGAGGCGGCCACACACTGGCTGTTCACGTGGTTCAAAACAAGACCAACAATGAAGAGTTAGAACACAAAACACAGAAGGAAGAATACCATTCCCACCATCATCAGAAACATTGCCACAGAGCTGTAACTTTCTCTACACAGAAAATAGCACAATGTTACTGAGAGAAGTTGTTCAAGCGGGCCTGAGCAAAAATAAGTACATAAAAATAAAGGAGATCTAAAGAAACGTAGGGCTTTCCCACATACTGGATGCTGTAAAGATATGGATTCTCTCTAAACCGGTCTACAGATTTGATGCAATCCCAATCAAAATCCCAAAAGGATGTTTTATGGAATATGAAAAGCTGATTCTAAAGTGGATGTAGAAATGCAAATAACCAGGACACCCAGGTGGCTCAGGGGTGGAGCGTCTGCCTTCTGCTCAGGGCATAACCCCGGGGTCCTGGGATCGAGTCCCACATCAGGCTCCTGCATGGAGCCTGTTTCTCCCTCTGCCTGTGTCTTTGCCTTTCTCTGTGTGTGCCTCCCATGAATAAAATCTTTAGGAAAAAAAAAAAAAAAAGAAACGCAGACGACCAGGAAGAGTCAGTCCCATGTTGAAGAACAAAAGTGCAGGAGTTGTTCAACCATCCACAGTGACTTAAGGAAAAACTACAGGATTGGAGACAGGATGGCATCCACACGGACTAGATGAAAGACCAACGCAACAGAACATCAAGCCCAGGATCAGACCCGGGCACCTACACACCTTTGGCTCACCACAGAGATGGCATGTAAAACAGTGGGGAAAGGATAGTTTGCTAAAAGGTGCTGGTTCGACTGGACATCCAGGTGGACACTTTCAACACAGCCGCTGCTTCACACTGCACACGAAAGCCAAGGCAGACAGCGGATCTAAGCGTGAAAGGCAAAATGGTAATGATTCTAGAAAAGAAGTGCAGATGTCTTTGAGACTTGAGTGGAGGAAAAGATATGAAGCAGTCCATAAAAAGCACCGGCCACAAAGAGAGATGGATCTGTGTAACTATATTAAAATTTTTTAAGATTTTATTTACTGGGGATCCCTGGGTGGCGCAGCGGTTTAGCGCCTGCCTTTGGCCCAGGCTGCGATCCTGGAGACCTGGGATCGAGTCCCACGTTGGGCTCCCGGTGCATGGAGCCTGCTTCTCCTTCTGCCTGTGTCTCTGCCTCTCTCTCTCTCTCTCTGTGTGACTATCATAAATAAATAAAAATTAAAAAAAAAGATTTTATTTACTTATTTGAGAGAGAGAGAGTGCGCGCGTGAAGGCCGGGAGCAGAGGGAGAGGGAGGGAGAGAAGCAGACTCCACACTGAGCAGGGAGCCTGGTGCACGACTGGATCCCAGGACCCTGAAATCATGACCTGAGCTGAAGGCAGATGCTTAACCGACCGAGCCCCCCAGGCCCAGTGACCACGTTAAAATTAAGAGCATCTCTTTAGGGGCACCTGGGTGGCTCAGTGAGCTGAGCGTCGGACCCCTGATGTCAGCTCAGATGGAGAATTCTCTCCCAGTCCCCTCACTCACACATGTGCACACGTGCTCTCAGATAAAGTTTTAAAAATAAATAAAAAGACAGCATCTCTTTGGCAAAGACACCATAAAGGGAACGAGAAGGCAAGCCACCGGGTGGAAGGAGGGCTTCTGGACTCCGCTACAGGAGGAAGGGCTCAAACCCAGCATCCTAAGAAGTCTTAATAAGAAGTCAACTAAGAACACAAACCCCAGAGAAATGAAAGCGCACAGTCACACAAAGACTTGTTTTCTCATTATTCATTACAGCCAAAAAAGAGGAAACCACCCAAATATCCAAAAAGTACTAAATAAACAACGTGTGGTATCACCCACCACGGAAGGCTACTCAGGAACAAACAGGAGTGAAGGGGGGGCCCGTCCGTCGTCAAGGGACTCAGGAGGACGTCAAACCGACACCTGCTCCCTCGCAGGCACCTCAGCGTCCGGCACACAGGCGGCCGTGGAACGAATGACCTCTTCCATTATCTACTCTGTCCCTCAAAGCCTTCAGCCCCAAGAGACCTCGAGACCCTCTCCTCCCCGGACCGAGAAAGACCACAGCCCAGAGCCCCCTGCCCGGATGCCACACGCAGGTCCACCCACCGAGACACTGTTGCCCTGGGAAGCAACCACCGCTCCCCTGGAGAACTTACCTAGGTCTGGACGGGGCTTCTGCGCAGAGGGAGAGGCGGTGGCCCTCGCCACTGTGGAATCATCTTCCGGGGTAAGGGGAGCACCCCCTCCAAGAAGCATGGTCCTGGCCCTGGAGCTTGCTGAGGAAGTCAGGAGAGGCCTGGCCTGCGGGGGGGCGCTGCTGGGAAAGAAGCCAGAAATGGCACCGCCAATTCTCCTGAGGGGCAAAGGGAGGTCTGTGCCCAAGGGCAACCATTTCTGCAGAGAAGGGGTCCCCAGCGCTCTGCCCACAGCCTCTGGCAGCCCCACTGTCAGCTCCTGGGAGCAAGGCCTATTTTCTAGGCCCTTCTCGTATGTGCTCAGGGAAGACTGGGTGCACGGTGGTGCCTCGAGGGGCTTATGGGCTTGACAGAGAGGCGCCCTGAGGTCCCGACACCCCGGGCTGCAGCCCACCCACACCACAGACAGCTGGGCTCTGGGGACCCCGTGGGCCGAGGCAGCCCCACGCCACACTCAGCAGGACGGGAGAGGGCCGGGAGTCACCTGGTGGGGGCCTGGCAGGCTTCGGGGCTGGTGCTGCAGTCAGGGCTGGTCGCTGGGGCAGGCGGCTCACAGACAGTGTCCCTCTCTGCCGTGCCTGCAGGGGAGGCAGCAACGTGGGACTGACAGACGGCACCGAGGAGCCTGAGACTCGCCGAGGAGCGAGACGCTAGGAATCGATCTTACCACCCCAACCCAGAGTTTGGAATGAGGTGCTTGGAACATGCGGCGGCCACCTGACGTTTGGTGGTGCCCACCTGACCTGCCCAGTGTCCCTTCCCCATTAGGGTAAAGCCTCCCGATTCTTCCTGGGAACAGTCTCTCCAATCTCCGCATCTGTGTTCACTCGAATCCCTCCCACAGACCAGCCTGGACCAATCAATCCATTTGATTCCCCTGATGCTGATGAACGGGCTCAGTGATGGGCACATGACCCAAGGCATGCCCGTGAGGTACAATGCCAAGGTTCTGGTTTTGGTTGTGGAAAATGTAGGAAGGAGAAGCCGTCCTTCCACTGGGGTTGGGAGGGAAGCAAGCCGGGAGCTGCTGGTAGGTATCTTACGGACACCTACACTGAGGGGTCAGAGAGGAGAAACGGGAAATGACAGAGCTCCTGGATCCAGCCGTGCCTGACACTCCCCAGAGCTAGGCCAGACTTTGCCGCTACATGAACCAAAAAAATCCAAGATTTCTGTTACAAGCAGCCCCAAGATTCCCGAAGGATACTGGGTGCGAGCAGAGTAAAGAGGAAAACACACAGCACTTCCCATCACGTGGATCGGAGTTTGCCGGCCACCTCTCATGTCCTCGCTGCGCCCATCACAGTGCGCGCTATACGGTAAACGCCTAATAAGAAGCGCGTCCTTTTCCCCAACTAGGCTCCTGACTCATCGCTGAGCAAAGCGTCCCGTGTGGGATTATGATCTGAAGGTTTCGGTGGAGGCGGCGTGGGCAACGCGGATGTGTCTCGTGCTTCTGCATGTGGCAGGATGACATCCAAGCCCGGCTCGGACACTCCCTGCTCTGTGGTCCTGAGCAGCGCACCCGCCATCCTGGACCTCAATTTCCTCAGCTGTAGCAGCTACTTCAGCCTGCCTGACGGAGTTCTGAGACCTTCAGGAGACACCACCTAACGGCAGCTCTGCACGCGGCTGAGCTCGGGGCTGACTGTCGCGCAGAAACCACTTCCCCTGGCCCGGCCGGAGCGCGGCCCTGTGGGAGCAGCCGGGGAGCCCACGAGCTGGCCAGCCGCGCTGTCCCAGAGAAGTGCCTGATGGGAACCGCACGCGTTCTTTGAAACCTCCTAGTAACCATTATTTTAAAACGTAAAGAGAAACACGTGACGTTAATTCGTTTAGCCCACTACGTCTAAAATAAGTCAGAGGATGATCCATGTAAAAATCCTTAACCAGCTGTTTTACAGTTTGGTACACTAAGCGTCGGACGTCTGGGCACATTCCACCCTGACCGCGCATCTCAACGCAACCGGCCTCCTCCACACGCTCCACGGCCGCGTGAGGCCAGTGATACCGCGGGCTGGCGGGGCAGCCCGGGGCCGGGGCTATGGTGCCACCCTGGGGCAGCCGCGGGAACGCCAGCCCAAGGGCCTGGAGGCCGGGGCGAACCCCCCGCGGCGCCTGGAACAGAACTCCAGCCGCGACCCACAGATGCACGGGCTCCCGGGGACAACTTCGCATTCTAGACGGAGCCCGAAGCCCAGGTTGGGCGCCCGCCCCACACGTGCCAGGGGCCCAGAGCCCAGGTGGCTGATGCCCCGCCTGCGCCTGGCAGGAGGCGCACTCCTGCACGGCCCTCAGCTGAGCGGTCTGTGACCCCGGGCACGGGACCCCACCTGCGCCCCCCACCCCAGCAGGTCCATCGGGCCCCAGGGCCTTCCACGAATACCTCTGCGGAGCAGACTGTGCCTGGCCTTCAGGGAGGCAGCGCGGGGGTGACCGGGGGCCCGACGGGCCCAGCCCTCGCGAAGCTACGGTGCTGGGAGGGAAGCCACACCGACCCAGCCGAGAGCCACAAACGGTCGGATCCGTGTTTGTGAGGGGCACGGAGGGACAAGACGTCGCGGTGCAGTCGCGCCCCGTGACCAGGCACAGGAGGCCTCCTGAGGCAGCGAGGTGCGGACGGAGACCTCAGGCTGAGCAGGGCTGAGCGAGCAACAGGAGCGAAGCGTGTCCCAGAGGAACAGCACGCTCTAAGGGCCTGGGAGGAGCGAGAAGCGCGCACAGCCGGACCCCAAAGACGGCCCTAACCCAGGGGAGCCAAGACAGGAGGGGCGCAGAGGGTGAGCGGAGGCGGGAGGAGGACCACGGCCTGGAGCCTGCCTGTGGGAAGATGGAGCGGGCGTCCCCTCCCCGTTGCTCCCGCCAAGGCCAGGCACACGCCGCGGGCAGACCCATCAAACAAGGAAGATGGGCGGTGAGTCCCCGGGTCTTCTGTCGTGCACACAGCCCGCACCGCCCGCAGAACTGTCGTTATGGTTAGAGTGACGTCGACGTACTGAAGTGTTTGTTCAGCAGGGCGTGAGCGCGCCAGAGAGGGGCGGCACCAGATTTGGTTTTGCCGGCGTGGCTCTGCCTGTCGGCCGTGGGCAAGGAATGACAGGAGGAAGTAGGGTTGGGGGTGGGAGAGAGAACTGGGGGGGCAAAACCTATGGGACTGGGAGACAGGCTGGCTGGGGGGTGTGGGGGGAAGGAAAGGATGGACGGCGGCGGAGAGGGTGGGGGCATGGGGCTTGTGAAAGGAGAGGTGGGAAGGTGGGGGCTGGGCAGGGGCACTTTACTCCCTGCGACCCCCTCCTGCCTCCTCCCCAGCCTGGGGGGCTGCCCCACCGCCCTGCGGCCACGCTCCAGAGCCCACCCACTCCGCATGCCTCCCTTCTGCAAGGTGCCCTCAGTACCACCCACACGGGACCTGAGTGCTTGGCCTCCTTTCTGGCCACGAGCCTCCTTGTATCATCAGAAAATTAGAAGTCCAGAGAGGGTAAGGAATTTGCCTGAACTCACGCAGCAAGTGGGAAAAGAAACTCGGTTCTCAGCAACTCTAACTCCCAACGCCTCAAGAGTGGGGAAACCAGCCCTAATCCTCGGAGGAACTCCTAGGACAGAGACCCGAGGTTTGCTTCTTGTTTACGAGGCATCAGAGAACTTCTGCCCTGAGCCTCACACCAACCCCAGACCTCCTCCAGGCGGGCCTGTGCCTCAGGCCACCAGGGTCCCTCTGAGCCTGGGACACCAAGTGCAGTAGCTGGTGCACCTACGGAATCTCGAGGGGAGGCGGCCATCTGTCCCACAGGATTGAAGAAGTAGGAGGTCGAAGGTCACTTGGGGATCTGGGGCAGGGGTGGGGGAGAGGCACAGTCTGGCACAGATCTTAGTGCTGGGCTGAGGGTGGGGATACTCACCCTGGAACCTGACAACCATCCCTGTCGCACAGATGGAGTGGGAGATGCAGCGGGCACAGGTGTTGGTGGCTGATGTGGCACAGAACATGCCGGTCCGGCACTCACAGACACGGGAGGAGTTCCCCGAGCACGGCATCTTCTCCACAAGATCCTCTAAGGGACACAAAGAAGGGTCATGGGGGACAGAGGGAAGACCGGGGAAAGGATCTAGAGAACCCTCAGGGACACTTTGGCTCATGACGGAGGATGCCGCTGTGGCCTCCCATCGGGCAGGGAGCTAGTGCGCTCAGCCCTTCTTTCCAGAGTGTTCCTGCAATGAGGGCAAGAAGGCAGGCGGGGCCAATGAGGCAGCCTCCACTTCCCCACCCATATCCCTGGACATCATTACAATTGTATTAAAAGGAAACCAATGCCCCCATTTTAAAATGGACCAAAAAAAAAAAAAAAAGACATGGAGGAACCATAAATGCACATTGCCACATGAAGGAAGCCAGTCTGAAGAGGCTACATGCCGTGTGACTCCAACTTGGTGACATTCTGGAAAAGACCAAACTATCGAGACACTAGAAAGATGTGTTTGCCAGGGATTAGGGAGGAGGGTCCCAAATCTAACATTCAGGTCAATATTGCTCATAATGGCCAAAAAGTAGAAACAACCCAAATATCCATCAACCAACGAATAGATAAACAAAATATGGCATATCCCTCCAATGGAATATTATTCAAAGCATAAATGACCTGCGTTACAACACGGATACACTTTGAAAATACTGCAAGGTGAACGAAGCCAATCACTGAAAGCCATATACTGATGGCTTTGAAATGTCCCAAGTAGGCAAGTCCCCAGAGACAGAATGTAGATTAGTGACTATAAGTGAGTGAAGGGGGATGAGAATTGGGAGGATTGGGGATTCTTTTGGGGAGGTGGAAATTTTCTGAAGTCAGATAGTGGTGGTGGTTGCATATTGTGAACATGGTAAAAATCACCATGTTGCACATCTTTAAATAGTGAATTTTAGGAGCACCTGGCTGCTGAGTCGCTAAAGCACATGACTCAATCTCAGGGCTGTGAGTTCAAGCCCCACACTAGGTGTATGTAGAGCTTACTTTGAAAAATAAGTTAATTTTTAAAAATAAATAAAATGGTGAATTTTATCTCAAGAAAAAAAAATCACTGGTCTAAGTACTCAGCAAATGCAAGCATTCCTGTGGAAAGAAACACAGGGCATCCCTGGTCAACCAGAAATGGTGAAGAGTTCCTGAAATATGGAAGGCTAGTGGGATTGCATGGAAGAAGGAGCCCACAGCCCAAAATAACCCAAGAGGATTATTCCAGGAGAGGCTCCAGGGTGGAGTACTCCCGTCTCCAAGGGGCTACAGGGCAGGGGCAGGCCCCAGGGAAGCCGAGAGGGAGTGACGCAGGAACACCCACATGGGTCAGTCTCCCCACGGTTCTCCCCATTTGTGCCACAATCCAGAAGCCAGGCATCTCCCCCAGGAGATTCTTGGGGAGGTGAGCGGGACGTGCCCTGGGGCTGGTCATTTGTGGGAGGAAGAGACCCTGCAGACCCAGAAGACCAGCCACTCCAGAACACCCCCCCCCCAGGTACAACGGGCAGGACCAGAGGGTCTCCAAAGGTGAGAAAACCAGCACCAAGAAAAAATTGCTCCAAACTCAAAAAGAACTAACTCTCCAAAGAGAGTTAGCATCAGTACAACTAATATTCTCAGGAATTTTTAGCTATTAAACAGAATCCCCTGGAGCTCAAGGAAGGAAAGAAAGGAAGCTGAAGTCATAAAAAAGGAATCTCCCCGAGAACAATGCTGCATGCACCAACTCCTCTTCTGCAGGCCCAGAGAAAAACTACGTTTCCCAGCATGCCTTGCAGTGGGTTTGGGTCATGTGACAGGATTGTAGCCAAGGAGATGTGGGCAGAAAGCTAAGGGCTTCTCCGGGGCCTGGCCCCTAAAACCTTCTGGGGAGGCTGTCCTACCCGCTCTCCCATGCTACAGAGGCCCCAGGGGAGCCCCTAACTCTCACCTGCACCCCAGAAGTGGTGCTGAAGAGAGAATAAAATCCTGAGAATTCTAGAAAATCTGAGAGGCAGACAGAGGACAAACAGTAGGCATCCCCAGAAAACTCAAGGGTTTTTTTAACCCTAAGAGTAGCAGCCCAAACATAGTATGACAGGCCCAGGGAGAAGTGGGAAAGTCAGCGGGACTTGCTAACTTTCGGAACGACAGGCCGAGTGGAAATGAGCAGAGGCCCCAGGAGTGGGGTACACCTCTTTTCCGGCAGCAGCAGCTCTGGTAATGCCTGTCTGATGGAAGAGAAGACAGATCCCTGCCCCAGCAAGGACGACACCTTCCCTGGCTGCTCTCTGCCTCCCACCCAAGCCCTCAGGCTCCTAAAACCAGTTTCAGAAGTAACACTCAGGATTCCTCAAGAAATTAAACAGGATGACCACATCCAGCCATTCCACTGCTGATATTCGTCCAAAGAACTGAAAGCAGGGACTTGACCAGATGATATTGGTAGACACGTGCATACAGCAGCATTAGTCAGTCACAAGAGCTAAAGGGTGGGAGCAACCCGAGTGTTCATCAACAGGAATGGATAAACAAAATGTGGTAGAGCCATCCAGTGGCTTTACAATACTCTCTCTAATACTATTCTGACATTTGCTACAATGTCTCGAAGACACTAGAAGACACTACGCTTGGTGAAATACAGCAGTTAGGATTCTACTTGCATGAACTTACAAGAGTAGTCAAAGACAGAGAGTAGACTGGTAGTTGCCAAAGACAGGGGGCAGGGTGGGGTGCTAGGGAGCTAGTGTTCAAAGGGCACAGAGTTTCAGTTCTGCCAAAGTACAAGTTTTGGAGCTGGAAACTGGTGACAGTGTTGTTGCCAAAAAAAAAAAAAATGTGAACGCACTTGATGCCACTGAACAGCATACTTAAAAATGGATACAATAATCAATTCTATGTTATATGTATTTTACTAAAGTATTTTTGAAAAGTGACACTCAGGGATCCCTGGGTGGCGCAGCGGTTTGGCGCCTGCCTTTGGCCCGGGGCGCGATCCTGGAGACCCGGGATCGAGTCCCGCGTTGGGCTCCCGGTGCGTGGAGGCTGCTTCTCCCTCTGCCTGTGTCTCTGCCTCTCTCTCTCTCTCTCTGTGACTATCATAAAAAAAAAAAAAGAAAGAAAAGTGACACTCAGCCCCCAGCTGAAGCTCCAGGCAGAAAAGACAAACCAGAGCCCAGGGAGGTGAGGCGGGTGTAAAGAAGCTACACTGTATCAGGGCAGAAGGAAGGCAGCAACAGAGCTGCTCCACCTGCTATGCTTACACGGAAAAAGAGTAGACAACTCTGCAAACATACTATAGTAGTTAAGGAGGAAGGAAGGGAGGAGGGAAGACAGAAACAGAAAGAAAGGGAAAGTTCCAAAAGATAGAAATACATTTTGGAAAGACAAAGAACCCAGTCCAAAACAGAAGCAATCCCAAGACTGCTTTACTATAAAAGAACTTAACAATATGAAATCAGCAAAGGAAAGGCTCAAAGAAAAGATGATCTTAAAACGAAAAAAAGGATGGGATAAGAAGGAAGACTAGAGAGCTAAAGAAAGCAAGTGGAGATGCACAGCACCACCAATAAATCCAATAAATAAATTACCAGTGTCCTGAGAGCCCTGGTGACACCTGGAAGGCAAGCAGCAGAAGAGATCATAACGAAGACTGAGTTCATGGCACAGAGAAAGCATTGAGAGAAAAACCAGTGAATCCAAGATAAAGACGAAGATACTAATGCAGTTAAAGACGACAGGGAGAGGGGCTCCTGGGTGGTTCCGTTGGTTAAACGTCTGCCTTCAGCTCATGTCATGATCTCAGGGTCCTGGGATCGAGCCCCAAGTCTTTAGGCTCCTTCCCTCTCCCTCTGCTCCTACCCCCCTGCTTGTGCTCTCTCTCTTTCTCAAATAAATAAAATCTTTTTTTTTTAAAAAATCTTAAAAAAAAAAAAGACAGGGAGGAAAGGCAAACACAATCAAACATAAGGATAATTGGCGTCCGTAAAGTTGACATTGAGATATATATTTAGTAGAAATAAAAATCCAGGTCAGTTTCCCTAAAATGAAGAAAAACTAAACTGCAGATAGAAAAGACATTCCAGGGGCATCTGGCTGCCTCAGTCTGTGGAACATGAGACTCTTGATCTCATAGTCGTGGGTTCAAGCCCCATGTTGGGCACAGAGATAACTTAAATAAAAACTTTTTTAAAAAAGACAAAATAAGACATTCCGGGTATCAGAAAGAATCCTTTCCAAATAATTAATCTCAAGGCATATTCTGGTAAATTTTGAGCTCTGAAGATAAAGATTATTCTTGCGGTCATCTACAAAGGGGCAAAAAGAAGGCGGATAGCAGACTCCTCCACAGCAATATTCACCATATGAAGACAAAGCACCAATGCCTATAAAGCTCTAGAGAAAACAGGTTTCAGGAATAATCATATACCTGCCCAAGTTGTCATTCGAGCATACAGGCAAGAAACATTCCCAAACATGAAAGAATCCCCCGAGGGATGTGCAAAGATGAGTCCTTCCTGAAAAATCCACAGGTCAGTGAAATCTAACCAACCAAGTGATAAATCAAAATGAAAATTTCAGGAACAGAGAAACTGTCATCAATGTACTCCGGGTGCACAATGAATAAGTTTAAATAGCAAAGCAAACAGCCAAGGAACTGAGGGTTACAGAAAATATAAACACCATAGGCAATAACAAAGTTTAAAAAAAAAAGTAAGTAATAAAAGTCAGGAAGAGGACAGGGAGGCAGCAAGCTAATTACTTAATTTTTCGTTACAGGAAGCCAATTTACTCTTTCCTATCCAAAAACTGAAATAAGCAGAACATGACTTTACCACAAGAGAGTTTTATTCTTTTAATGACTTCCAACTACTTCTTGATTTTCATAACCTCTTAATTTTACAGGGGTTTGTTTTTTGTATTTTTTTTTTTAGAAACTGCTCTCTTGTGATTATTTTCACTTTAATTTCTTCTTCCTCTGATACACTTGAATAAAATCAAATGTAATCACTTGAACATCACGAACAGTGTGTTCCCATCCTCTTTAAAAATCCCTTTTCGGGAAGTCCCGGTGGCTCAGCGGTTTAGCGCCGCCTTCAGTCCAGGGTATGATCCTGGAGCCCCGGGATCGAGTCCCATGTCAGGCTCCCTGCACGGAGCCTGTGTCTCCCTCTGCCTGTGTCTCTGCCTCTCTCTCTGTCTCTCCTCTCTCTATGAATAAATAAATAAGTCTTTTTAAAAAATAAATAAATAATAAAAATAAATAAAAATCCCTTTTCTCCGGGCATAAGCATCTGCCTTCAGTACAGGTCATGATCTCAGGGTCCTGGGATTGAGCCCTGCCTCAGGCTCCCTACTCATCAGGGGTCTGCTTCTCCCTCTCCTTCTGCCCCTCCTCGCCTCTCGTGTGTACACTCTCTCTCCCTCCCAAATAAATAAATATTTTTAAAAATCTCTTTTCTGCACACATGTATGGCTGTCGGCCTTCCCATTCTTTTCCCCTCTATATAGAGATACAGAGAAGCGTCGGTCAGACATCCAACCAGGGGGAAGGGGCAGAGCTGGCTTTCTTCCTCACATCTCCTCATGTGCTTGAATGTTTCATAATGAACGTCTGTAACTGTCATTTAATACAAGGCAGTCTTAAGTCTTAAAAACTTAAAGATAGGGATCCCTGGGTGGCACAGCGGTTTGGCGCCTGCTTTCGGCCCAGGGCGCGATCCTGGAGACCCGGATCGAATCCCATGTCGGGCTCCCAGTGCATGGAGCCTGCTTCTCCCTCTGCCTGTGTCTCTGCCTCTCTCTCTGTGTGTGACTATCATAAAAAATAAAAAAAAAAAAAACCAACTTAAAGATACACCAGAGAAACGCTAAGGCAGATGAAGAAGAATGGCAATGTGAATACCAAGCAAAAACGGAATTAAGGCAAGCACTGTAAGGAGCAAAGAGGTATATTTCATGCTGACGAAAGGTCTAACCTCAAGAAAACACAGTATTCACGAACATCATACCTAATAACACAGCTCTGACATCAGAGAGCAAAAATAAATAGAACACAGTGAAAATCTGATGGAAAACAAGCACAGGGGAGGTGGATTCTACACATCTCAGATGTCAACCTGTGGGAAGGTGACAAAGGATAGACAAGAATGCAAAAAGCTATGTTATTTCGGGGAACTTAGCGGGCTCAGTCCACAGAGCATGTGACCCTTGATCTCAGGGTTGTGAGTTCGAGCCCCACGCTGGGTGTGGAGATTCATAGGGGATCCCTGGGTGGCGCAGCGGTTGAGCGCCTGCCTTCAGCTCAGGGCGGGATCCTGGAGACCCGGGATCGAGTCCCACGTCGGGCTCCCTGCGTGGAGCCTGCCTCTCCCTCCGCCTGTGTCTCTGCCTCTCTCATTCTCTCATGAATAAGTAAATAAAATCTTTAAAAAAAAAAAAAAAAGAGCAACACCCCCACCCCGCCGCCGTCTACCGACCCGCTTGGCAAAGGGCTGCAGCAGGCCCGCCCCGAGGCCGAGGCCGCCGTCCGCCCTGCCCGGCCCCACCCCCGAGGCCCCCGGCGCCGCCCTCACCTCCGGAGCAGCTCACACAGGCCTTGCAGCGGCCGTCCCGGTCCAGGTAGTAGTCGGGCTCGCAGCGCTTCCCGCAGTCGGAGGGCCCCCGAGGGCACGGCAGCCGCGCGCTCAGCCCTGGGGAAGGAAGCACAGAAGCTCCAGGCCGCCGCCCCGGCCGAGGCCCCGGCTGAGCCCCCGGCGCCCCCGGCCTCGGGCCACACCACGTGGCGGCGCCGGGCCGGCCTCGCCGAAGGAAGCCGCACAGGCCCGCGAGCGCGGGGCAGGGACCCCTCGGCCCGAGGAGCCAGGGCAGCCGGACTGCGACGCACGCACAGCGGCCGGCAGTGCGAGTCCCAGGCGCAGGGAGGGGAGGCGCACGCGGTCCACACCCACGGCGAGGGGCGCGGGGACCGGGCGCCTCCACCCGCCGGCGGCCTCGGCAGCAGCCCCGACGCTTCCCACCCACACCAAGTCCAGCGGGCACGTGGCCCAGGCGGGCCAGGCAGTATACGTCATCCTTCGCGATGGGCACGTGACCCAGGCGGGCCAATCACAATACAGCATCCTTGATAGACACGTGACCCAGGCGGGCCAATCACTATACGTCATCCTTCGCGATGGACACGTGACCCAGGCGAGTCAATCACAATACGTCATCCTTCACGATGGCCACATGACCCAGGCGGGCCAATCACAACACTACGTCATTCTCCACGATGGACGCATGATCCAGACGGGCCAATCAGAATGCCTCATCCTTCACGATGGCCACATGACCCAGAGGAGCCAACCACAACACCTGAGCCTTGGGACGCCCGGTGGCTCAGTGGTTGAACGTCTGTCTACCCTTGGCTCAGGGCGTGACCCCGGGGTCCCGGGATCGAGTCCCACATCGGGCTCCTACGAAGAGCCCGCTTCTGCCTGGGCCTGCGTCTCTCATGAATGGATAAAATCTAAGATCTAAAAAAAAAAAAAACCGCTACCAGGAGCAAGCCCTTCTCTTTCCTGTTGGGTTCGTGGTGCGGAGCGCAGGGTCCGCGGGAGCTGCGGTGCGGCAGGTGCACGTGCCCGAGGAGGAGGTGGCTGGGAGGCAGGCAGGGTCCGGGCGCAGAGCCGCGGGTGCCCGAGGGCGCCCCCCGGTTTCCATTCGTCTGCCTGAGCTTTGGGCGCGGAGGAGGTAGGTGCGCGGGGCCCTGGCACGTCTCGTGCCGCCTCCTCGTCGCGGGGGGACGTGGGACGCGGCTCGGAATCGCGTGCGTGGTCACCGCGGGCCTGTTACCAGGGCCTTCGGATGCTTGGAGAGGCCGAGCCACCGGCCGCTGCAGGCCCGGTCCCGGAGCCCGGGGGCACCGTGGGGCCAAGCATGAGCTGAGCCCAGGGGACGTTCGCGGGTGGCGGCGGCCACCGCGGTGCCGCGGCCGCGGGCGGGAGGACGTCGGGTCCCTCCGGCGGAGACGCTGCGGTGTCGCCGCTGTGCTGTGGGGTCTTGATCCTTAAGGGACGGATTCATGCGGGACATTTCAGCTCGCGGCGGATGAACGTGAGGGCGCTCGCCCGGGGTCAGCGCGCCTGAAACCCACCCACGGACGCGGGGCTCCCTGCTCCGGGAAAACATGTAAGACCCTCTCCGAAGTACTGGCCTGGTGGCTGCCACCCTCTGGCTCAGAAAATCTCGGCAGCTGCCCCGGGGTCTCTCAGGAAGGTACAGGCAACCCCAGCACCCCTCGCCTACAACTTTCGAGGGCGTCTCGCGGCCCCTACGATCGAGCCCTGGGTCCTTACCGTGGTTACGGGGGTTCGGCCCACCTGCAGCCCTTTACCGTCTCATGTCAAGACGCACTGGAATCTCCATGGCCCCCAGAGGGGCCATGCGCCCTTCTGACCCCAGGACCCTTGCACAAGCTGCCTTTTGCCAGGAACGAGCCTCTTCCCTTTACCCTGAGAAACTCGTGCTCCGCCTTCCCGTCACTGTCAGGTTGTCGCTCTGTCAGCAACTTGGTCAGGCCTGTTATAAACCGTCGGAGACCACGTCGCTGGCTGTCCTACACCTGAGGCTCCTGTGATCTCCTTGACCTACACGTGGAATCGCATTTATTCGTGGGATAAATTGCCTTAGTATCTGAATTCCTCCCCCGAATGTCCGCTCTTCAAGGCCGAGGCTTTCCCCCAGGCTCTGAGGCCGGCACATGCGCGACCCCGTGTGCCCTGACCACGTACCCAGTGTGGCCGCAGCCCCACGCTCCCCGCACACCCACCCGGCTCCCGGGGCTCGCACCAGGGCTCCAGCGGCCGGCCGGGCCCCTCCTCCAGCGCCCTCCTGTGCCCTGGAGCTTACGGGTCCTCCCGGAGGAGGCGCCCTCGCCCCGCGTGTCAGCGGGCCAGCGACTCGAGGACAGGGCCCTCACGGGGTGGGAAAGCTCACAGGCGGTCGTGGGCAGGCCGCAGTCAGGACGCCTGGTGTCCCTATAGGACGGGGGACATCTGGGCACAGACACTCGTGCCCATGGGAGCAGCCACTAGAGACGAGCTCCCGCGGCCACCGGCCAGGCCGCGACCAAGGCTGGGCCACGGCCTTCGAGGGGCTCAGCCCCTGGGCTCCGGGACCGGGGGCACATCTGTGCAGCGGTCCTCACCCCGCAGGTGGCCCTTGGGGACAGTGACCCGGGGTCCCACACAAGGGGCCTGCGCCCGGACCTGAGCACTGCCGAGGCGCGTGTCTCCCCACGGGGACCCTGCGCAGCCAGCCAGGTCAGGACACGGTGCGTCCCCTGCTGGGACGGTCCCCACCCGCTGCATCCTGGGCACCAGGGCCTGGTTGGGGTGAGCCCGAGCAGCCCCTGCCCCACCACTGTGGCCCATCCGCCCAGACCCGGCGCCGCCCGCAGCCGCGGGGCTGTCGCCCAACTCATTACCGATGGGCACCTGGGGCCGGGCACCCAGATGTGCGGAAGGCGAGGTGCCCACTCCCAAGGGCTCGCCCCGCAGCCAGGGGGAGCAGGCCCACGGAGCCACGAGCGGGTCGGTGTCCCATGTGTGCACACATGGGGAGAAGGCGGGGGCCGGGGGACCGAGGGCCCACCCAGGTGCCCAGGGGAGGCGCGGGGTGGGGGGACCCTCCAGGCACAGCCGGGTCGGTCGTGCAAAGGCCCCGAGGGGGAGCCCCGGCCTGGGCCACAAACAGGAGGGCCCGGGGCTGGAGCACACGGAGCCCCACTTCCCTCCCGACGGCCTCCCTCCTCCTCCCCTGCCCTCCTCCCTCTTCTCCTTCTCGGTCCCCCTCCTCCCCTCCCTCCTCCCCCCCTCCCTGCGCACCCCCCTGTCCACCTACTGCGCGGCCTGGCTCCACGTTGTCCCCCAGCAGCAAGGCAGGCCTCAGCATTCACAGCCGCCCCCCACTCTCCCTGTGACCCGGGGGTGAGTAGGGCAGGAGGAGGGGGCTGGTAGCCCCCACAGGGCTCCCCGCTGACACGCTCTGCCCTGCGGTCAGTGCCAGGGAGGGGGGAAGAGCTCGGGTTTCTGAGTCAGCCCCGGGGGGTGGGGGGCACAAGGCCGTGGGAAAATCTCTGAACCCCGCCATTCCAGGTTTCCTCTCCGGGTTCCCTATCGGGGTCCCAAGAGCCAGCGAAGGGCCAGCTCCGTGGGCGCTCAGTGTTGTCCTCGTTGTGACGCCGGGAGTGAGCTCCCCGTCCCTGAGGGTGTGTAAGCAGAGCGCCGGGGAGCGGCTGGCCGGGATTCTACGAAGCGCCTCATGGGCCGGGCGAGACGAGAGACTCGGGAACATCTAAACTTCTCGTCTCAAAGGTCCCCCAGTTTCCGCGCCCCCCGCGGCCCCGCCAACACTGCCGCACAGCTGAGCCGAGCGCTGATGGCAAAGGGCGGGCAAAATGTCAGAAATTTCCCCCAGAGACCGAGGAAGGGGTTTTTGTGGGTTTTTCTCTTCCTCTAGCTTGCCGGAAGCCTCAGCCTCGGCAATAAAACTGCAGCAGCAATGCCCCGCCCAGCCCCAGCAGGAGGCGCTCGGCTCGGAGCTGCGGCCCCCCTGCCCCCTGCCCCCCTGCCCCCCTGCCCTCCCTGCCCACTCTGTCCCCGCCAGGCAGGGGGGAAGGGAGCTGGCGCGAGGGAGGGAAGGGTCTTTCCTCCCACAGCTGAGATTATGGGGCCGGAGCCACCGGTCAGAACCTTGGCTGCGGTCGCTCTGGGGAGAAGCCGGCTCACAGCAGGGCTGCGGAGGGAAGGCTTCCTGGAGGCGGGGGTGCCAGGACCGAGGGACGGGCTGGGGTGCGGAGGGCAGCCCGGGGCACACAGGCATGTCAAAGGCCCAGAGACCTGAAAGCACCAGGAAGAAAGGCCAAGGGGAAAAGCCTGGAAAGGTGACAAGTGACCTCACAATAAAATGGAGCAACAAACATTGTCGGCTGGATGGACCGGGTGGGAGGGCTCGGTGCTGTGGCCGGTGTCCCCCCCAGATCCGTGGGTTGAAGCCCTAACCCCCCGCAGTGTGACTTTATTTGGAGCTAGGGTCCTCAGGAGGGAAGAAAGGTTAAGTGAGGTCAGGAGGGTAGAGCCCTGATCCAGGAGGATTGGCGCCCTTGTGAGAAGAGAAAATATGTATCTTCTCTCTCTCTCTCTCTCTCCCTCCCCTCTCCCCCCCTCCTTCTCCCCCACTCCTCTCCCTCCTTCAGCCATGACGGGGCCTGTCTGCAAGCCAAGAAGAGACGACTTCTCACCAGAAACCAAACCCGGCTAGAACCCTGGCCTTGGACTTCTAGCCAACAGAACTGTCAGGAAACAAATGTCTGTTGCTGCAGTGCCCCCCACACCCCACCCCGGCCCCGACTCCCCGTCGGTGGTGTTTTCTTATGGCTGCCTGGGAGGACTGAGATGACGGATGGACGGATGGACCGATGGGGGATGGGAGGCCGAAGGAACGGGGAGGGGTGAAGGGGCAGGCGGGGATGGCAGGCACTGGGGAGGGCGTGGGGGCTGGCCAGTTGGGGCCTGGAGTCCCGAGCATTGAAGAGAGCCCAGGCACTCACCTGACACTCCAAGATCCAACACTAAACCACAAAATAAAACAGAAAATCCAATAAAGTT